TTGCTTCGCAGTCTTTTTATTATAAGCTTTCATTCAATCAATTGCTACCATTACACGATATACTATTTTAACTTATTCTCAATTTATTGGTTATGATCTCTCACACCTACAGCCATTTTTGGGATTGATCTTGTATAATTGTTATTTTCTATTTTTTAGTTTGATGGGGTCTGGTTTGATTGTGTATAAATCAAACATGTCTGAAATATATGGTTCACAGAGTGGGAGGTATTACTGGTGTTCCGGACTCAAACAGGAAGGACTAGAGGAGAAGGACTAATAAGTACTCTAGTCTGCTCGTACCGGTCAACACGCTATTATTTTAACACAGTGCTAAGGATGTATAAGTCATGTGCTGGTTGGCGATTTAGTCACGTGATAGGTAATAAGCCATAGGACTTGTGATCAAGTAGTCATCTACAAATCAGTGTACGTGAGATAAGTAACAGAGCAAAAGTTACAAGAGTATTACCCGGGCTTTTTGAGACATTTATGTTGCTTAGGATTTCACACCTGGTCAATCGCAACGATGAGACGTTTATATTAATAAGGTTAATTTTTTTGAAAACTGAAAACACTGCCCTTTGTTCGTATCTATCAGGTAAAGTGGTCAATCCATTCTCGATTTATTCAAAAGATGATAGACCGAACTATTTAATGACACTATGTTTCTAACGAATGTTTGCTTCTGGATATGAGAGGTGGTACAAACCAAAATAATTATGGGCATTTTGATATGTTTATTAAAATGTCCATGGTGTATTACATATGTTTTAACCAAAGTCTTTATGCTCGTAGAATGAAATCCAACTTCGGTTTCAAAGTAATTACATAACAGCTCCATATATTTACTTGGCTATCGTCTGTTTACTTGGGAGTTTCAGATACAATGAAAAAACAGCTTTAAAACTTTTGGGAAAAGGGAAGTAGCACAGATAACAATCATTTTTTTGCACATCAAACGTGTCCAGACTTATCATGTTATTGAATAGTTGTAACCACAATTGTTTAGAATATTTTTGTCCCAAGACATTCCAAATCGTTCGGATAGACACAGACCCTGAAACGCAAAATAACAATTAATCTATCCAACGTTTCTTGTTTACAATACATCATATTGTATCGGTAAGTAAATCCCCAGAATAAATAGTTCTACAAGATCTCGACATTGATGCTGACCTAATTAGCTTTACTGGACACACCTAGCTGAAGGAGCTCGGTCAAGCATCCACACCAGAACGTTATATTACGCATCACTTGCAACAGCCAGCTTAGATCAGATATCGCCCGATAAATCGCGAGTCTTTCAAATATACCACCGAACCACGTAATCTCTGACTTCTGTTTGACTGGGTAGGCATACTTCGATTATAAAGGTCGTACGTGTAAAGGCTTTGTCGAACAAACATATATGGTATCTTTAATATTATAGAAAGCGATCTGGTAACAGTAATTTGGTAACTTTATTGAAAATGATACGGTGTACTACGAAGTTACTTTTAAATTGCGAATACTCGAAATGTCCAGTGTGAGCGCTAATAAATTTACATTCTACTAAATACGGATGAAAGGGGTATATTTTTTAGCTTGGACACAGGATCATATACATAGTGATTTATATTATAAAGTAATCTAATATTTCAATACCCCGGCTGCTGTCAATCGACAAGAACTGGGACACGCATGATTTATTGTATTCGTGGTGTATTAAGTTACATTATATATGAAAAGCACTTAACAGATTAGTACATTGGAACTTTCATGATAGAAGGTTGACATATCAAAAAACTGGTTTTTAATATAAACGACCTGAAAGCTTTTGTGATAATGATGGCAAAGCTGTTCTAACGTGACAGGTCGCAGTTCAATTATATCGTTATGAGTGTGTAGAAAAGTGAACTAGTTGACTGGGATATCTTAGGTCCTATGGTCTGGAGACTAAGTTTTATTCTTCTATTGGAGAGCAGTATAAATGAAGGTCACTTGATGATGATACGTTCTGACTTCTCAGGGGAAAACAAGCATCTTAAGAACTACTTTAAGGGATTAGTTTTTATGGAGGATGGAGTTGTGAAAAAGTAAGGGAATCTTAGCAAGAGACGTTAGGAAACTGTTTTTAAAGCTGCAAATTGTATGTGATGACGAAGTCCCGAGGACAACTGTGCCAGCCCTAGGGAACACGAAAATCCCAGACACAGCTGTAAGTTATCAATGAACTTACTTAACCTTTGGACGCAAATGTTTGAGGGTTGTTAATCTGGTAAGTGATGTTACCTCAGTTATACCGGAGTCTGGGATTTCGAATATAACAAATAGCTCTCCAACTGCCTGGATAAACATGAGTTTGAAATGTGATTGTCCGAAACAAAGTGGGATTTCTACTCCTGCATTGTCTAAACGTCAACAGGGTATATCCAAAGTTGAGCGAATTTATATTTCATTCTTCATTCAATTGAATTCATTTAAAGGTTATAAAAGTTATATATATATATATATATATATATATATATATATATATATATATATCACAGCTATTAAAAAAGGTTTCAGACATCTAACTTGGAGTGCTCTGAAAGTTAGTATTGGCTGAACTTAACTCAAAAGTTGCGCGTAACAAATGATAATTTCCAGAAAAGATTGTTGACCTTTCAACACTGATTTTTCATCGCGCGTTTGTCAGCTCACAAGTGCAATACGTTTCATTGGGACTGGTCAGTGATAGCACTAACCAGTATACGTTGTTGTCCTGCTTCGGTTTGGGCACCCGGGCAGTATCACAGCCCTTGCACAAATCAAATGAGATTTGTGTGGCGCATATATATGTAGTGCCTCCTTGTACCAATATCAATGTGTTCAAATAAAATAAATAAATACGTTGTTGTCTACCTGCAACTAGTGTGGAATTCGCGTATTCATAAATTACGATTCGTTTCGCGAAAATTCCGATGGCATATGTGAGGGACCCTAGATACCAATTATAACAATCACAAAGGTAGAAACGATAATGGGGGTGTCGATCGATCAAATTTATGTCTGGAAATTAATCTGTGTTAGATCAACTTCTGTGTAAGACTAATCGATAACAATATGAAGCTACTTGCCTTTCAACATTCAGTAACCAGTCACTTTTGAATGGACGAACGAAACCGAAATGGTTCTGTTTAAAATGTAGTGTTTTCAAGCACCATGACGACTATTACTTACAGAAACCAATTTATTTCATTTCAGTACAGATTTTAGTGATAGCTTAAGGTTCCCATTGTTCAAATCAATGTCGATCTGTATGTTCAAGTTCCATGCTAAATATACGAATAACACATCGTCACTTCCTGAAGGCTCTTACTTTTCGAACACATTCCTTTACCAGTTCTCGTGATCCTTACCTCATATATTTTGAAAAAGCTCACGGCCTACTTATGAAACAAATTATTGCAAACATAAATGACCCACAGAGGTGATCAGAATATTTCTCCCCTAGTCTGTCTATTGGAGGAACAAAAAAAGCGATTACAATGGAGGCCTGTATATCAAATATATTTCGTGATAAGAAGATTTCGTAGATGTAAAACTGGTTATAAAATTCCTAGAATGAAGATAAGTTGGAGCTAGACACTACTTTAAAGATTTCTGTACATATTTTTGTATATTTACAAGTGAATATAAGGAATAGATTTGTTTTTTCTTTTACTGCTTATTCTCTACCGTAACGAAATACCTTGAAATAAATACAACGAAACGTTATGCCGAATACCTTATGCTAATCAAATAAAAAAAACTCAGTAGGTTTGAATTTTGATGATTGACTTAGAAATAGTATATTTTTGAGGTGAATGAACTTCATAATATCTTAAACCAATCTTTTTAACGTAAATGTCGAGAGCTCATCTTTGAATTCTAATACTTACCAGTTAATCAAATTCAGAAACAGAAGTAAATTATCATCAGATGTATTATTAATCTGAATTAGAACAAAAATGGACTAATTATATTTTGATCATCAACTTCTTATTCTTGCAGTAGTTTTTTTAGAAATTCACTTAGATAAGTTACTCATTCGTTTGAAAAAATTAATCGAAACATTCCTAAAGTAAAGTCTAAATTTTTTTTACATATACAGATACATATTATTGTAAGAAGTGTGTAAGAATTGTAAAACGTTATACTTTGAAAAGTACCATTGTAATATTACATATCACTTGAGTGAATATGATGTCTAAATGTCTAATACAAAAAGGTAACTTAATTATCAAATATTATAGAGGTTTAAAATTCATGAAACAAACATACATGATTTGAATCAACCATCAGTTTAAAAGATGAACAGTTTTATGAAACAGATGATAATTATATAACTTGTATTATTATTATTTTTATTAAAATCAGACTTTCTAGTAGATACGGAATAAAATATTTTTATAATAAACCACTTATCATGACAATAATGCCTCCTTTAAAAAGAAAAGAAAACTGTTATATCCCAATAAGAATAATGAATGATAGTTTTTGGAATACATTTATAGACCAATACTACGAGTATATTTTTATTGTGTAATTGTCATGTAACTAAACTGTTCATATTCATGTCCTACTTATTATGAGCTTTGTTTTCACCTATGAACTGTCATTATACGATCTTCCATTCTTGAATTATTCCCTGTCTATTCATCACTATCCAACATATTCACAACCACCTTTGGCCAAATCTTGTATCCTATTTTATGGTACGATGTGGTCTGTTTGATTGGTATATAAACCCAGCATGTTTGAAATAAATGGTTCATATTGCAGAGGCTGAGATTGGTGTTTTGAACTTAACAGACTGGGCTAGGCGGAAAGTAAGAGAGATAAGGACTCTAGGCTACTCGTACGGGTTTTATACGTCATTGATTCAATAGATAATTCACTGTTCGCTAATTGGCGATATCAATACGTAATACATTGACAGGGACACATAGCACAAGATATAACAAAAACAAACTTTAGAATTACTGCGAACTATTATCAATGATCAATAATATTTGACGGGTGTATTAATATGGACACAACAACAATTATCTCCATTTTAAAGAAAGATTCTACAAAATATATTTGCACAAAAAGAAAAGTTTGAAGAAGTATTCAACAGTTATACATTCGATATAAAATTTAGGGCAGATACAAGTTTTCTTTTGTAGTAAAAAAATAATGGGATATACATAAAAGAAAAAAAACTTGGCTCATTTAGTAATTTCATCAGAGATTTCATGAAGTTTGTTTAAAAGAATAGATATATTCTGAAGTTTCAAATTTAAATCTTTGTGTCCATCAATTGGATGATGATAAACCTGTTATGAAAGTGGTAAATAACGTTTAAATTCATTATTAAATACACCGAAAAGCTATATACAGCTATATAAAGCATTATATATATATATATATATATATATATATATATATATATATATATATATATATATATATATATATATATTTGAAATGTTCGGGGGAGGCGGGGTCGCGGATGCACATTGCTGAAGAGTCCCACAATAGGACAAAATGACCATCCAGTGCTTCCAGGTTTTCCATGGTGATCTAGCTTTGATTGATTCATGATCTCAACTATTAAAATTACTATAATATCCACAAAAAACCTCTACTGAAATATATTTTTCTTAAATAATGAAATTCATTTACCAAGTACATTATTGTTAGAAAAAAAACTATTCTTACGCAATCAGGTAAACGAATTGAAAATGAAAGAATGGAATTAGAGCGGGCAACCTAAAGGTTATAAGGTGAGAGCTTTATTCAGCAAGCCACCGCTGTACTCATAGTTTGTAATAAAGGTAGGAAATGCAAAGTGGTTTCCTCCTTTACATTTCTTAAATTATTCACGTTATTTTACTGTCGGTTACACAAACGCGAAATTAATCCAATGAATAGCTGTTTTAATATATCAATAGCAGAAAGAAATGTGTTCTAAATTTCTAATTACTTAGTAAACTAGAAGCAATTATGTGTGTATAACAGGTGAAAATGTAGAGTAAAGACGTTTAAGAGATTGAGTCAATTGAGTACATTACAAAATCAGATTCCAATCTAGGTGTTATGTCTTTTGCAATAGTATAAAACATAATTTTGATCTAAGAGAAAACTGATGTTTATGAATCCATACAATCGCATAATTATTAAACTTCAACATTACCAACAGTTTCAACTGTGCTCTATGTAACCCCGACAGTCGAGATAACGGGTAACATGTAAAGTCTTAGGTTTGATGACTAAAAGACAACATTAGTTAATTTATCTGAAAATATATTGTCCGTGATTTGAAGAGAGAAAAACTATTACAAAATGAATGTAGACGAGTATCAGGATATGAATAGAGTAGTAAATGTTCAGTACATAGAAAAACAAAACTTTGGAATTTCTAGCTACATGTTTACAAAAGAGGGGTTCTAACTTCCTCTTGACGAAACATTATTATTTTGATAGATAGTAGCCCCGAATCACCCAGAGAAATTGATGAAATATCCTGGGTATTTAGAATTTTTCTGACGGTTGTAGTTTACTTGATCAGAATGATTAAAAATGAGTTTGATTTGTGGTCAGTTGTAACACTATACAGAGAATTAAACCTATCCTACTTCATCATTTATTCTTTACAAATTTAGTATAAGTTGAGTAACTGACGATAAATTTTCTTCAGAGGAATCGCTATCAGTTGATATTCAGTGGCAAAATGATGGAAACTACAGATCACCAGAAATCTCGTTTACCGCACTGAGGAGTTCTCCTAGAAGTAGGCACTTATGATCATAACATAGGTGGAACCTAGGAGTTTTGAGCTTCGTGTCACGTTTAAATCACCGAGTCAAGATCTGATGGTCAAAAGCTCCGAATCCAACTGACTTGCAAGATAATAACCGATTATAACCTGTAAACTGAATATGACGATGATAAAATATCTATTTAACATGGCCGTTGTTTTGACAAAGCATGATTAAATCATCACTAGTACGGCTTTTAATTATCTTGTTGTTAATTTTGAGGACTGACTTTATATCAATCTTTGTTATTATATGTTAATTGTGTGTGGACCGCCTCAATCCACCTATTCTATGAAACTTGTGACAAGATGGCTGTGTATCAAGGCAATCTGAATAGAATGTACAAATACCAATAAATGCCGATCAAAACTCAATTTCAAATAGTAACAATGGGATAATTTAAACTCTTATTAATAACGACACACACACAGAATATACTTGTCGAACAAGTTAGTGGTTATCTGGACTTAGCAACCCATTAGATAATGCACTGTCATTTCAAGAGAGAGATATTAAGTTCGGATCCCATTAAGAACATCAGCACTGACATATAGGTACATCTAGCTGACGAGTCTTAAACGAGATTAAACATGTATCCTGGATACCTTCGTTGCCCACAATCTATCTATTCTATAAAGCAATGTTTTATTACGCACATACATATCAATGTGAAGATTGTACTTACTTGTATAATTTCAAATGGTTTAACTAATCTCTGAGAATATATGCATTGTATATCTGAATCAGAAAGATGATTAATAAGAAGAGCCCATGTACTTCCAGGGTCAAGAGTCCATATAATTTCTATACTAGACATAGAAGCCTATTTAAAAATGAGTGGGTAAAAAAAATGAACTACTTTGAAAATAGTAAAATTAGATTCTTTTTTAAACATAAAAACAATATCATTAACATAAACAGATAGAAGTGAGCTATTTGAGTTATTCTATCTGGAGTTTGCGCTTATATTGTCTAGAAGGACAATAAAAGTGCTATAACTGTGACGGCAGCAGATTTGAAGGTAGCGAATTATCGATCGGACCAAAGACGCGCAAACACGTAGAACGACCTAGAGCTGTGATTGGCCCCGCTTCCCTGTCTAGCCCAGCAGTTGAGTTCAGAACGCAAGTCACAGCCTCGGATGTATGAATCATTATATTTCAAACATACTTTGTTTATATACCAGTCAATCAGACCACAACGTACCATAAAATAGAAAATAACATTGTACAATATTGACCAGTAGGAAAATAACACGTGAAATAAGTACTGACCAATAGGAAAATCATACCATGTCCAAGTCCAAGAATAGCATTAGACTTAATAGGATAATTTCTGGGATATTTTCCTGAATATCCCAACAAAAAGCTTCAACGTTCAACCTATCAGTGATTCCAAAAGGCAACTCCTCCATAACAAATCAATCATTCTCAGCAGTAAGATGATTAAATTTCCTTTAACCGATGTCAACATATACAACAATAAATTATTACTTGCACAAATTACTATCACAGAGTCTTTCGAGGGTTCGAGATTATTTGTTAATAGATAGTTGTACTAATGATGAGACATCACTTAAGTATGCCCTTGACAACCTGGATGTTCCCTTACTTTACGGAATTACAACTCTACTATGAAATAAACACTAATGGTTATATCAGAAGGGGTTTGTGGAGATTTTAGAAATTTTCAGATTGAAATCATGAGTCAGTTGAAGCTAGACCACCATTGAAGACCTGGAAGCACTGGTGGCGCAACTTCGTGGATTGGTTGAAGTTAGAAATTAACGCCGTTGGATGCCGGCTCAGTGGTCTGATGGTTAAGTGCTCGTGCGCGAAGCCAGTAGGTCCTGGGTTCGAATCCCGCGGTGTGCGGGATCGTGGATGCGCACTGCTGAGGAGTCACATATTAGGACTAATGCTTTTAGTCACATAGAATTCTAATATCTGACTTAAATTAAAGTGCTAGACAATTAAATGATCGTTAAGAAATGAACGATAACGTGTTTGTCAAATCCTTTAAATGCTGATTGAATTCTATCAACCAAGTTGTAATGCGATCACTAATAAAAGCGACTCAACACTGAGTGCACTGTGTTAAGATACTTCGTGATCGGATATAGTCAACATGAAATCCTGGACCTCGGTTGCATCCTACCTGACACTCGTCAGCCAAACACTTATAATCTTAAGGGAACTAATGTCTTCTGTAAGATTCAAACCCGAGTCAGTCAGATTTGTACTCTAAGATGTTACCACTGAACGATTTGGATCTCGAGTGACCTTTTGTAGTAATAGTAGTAGACATTCCTCAACGATTCTACTTAAAATGTTTAGATAGGCCTCATGATGGATTTTTTAAATTTAAAAAGATAACAAGCAAATGAAGATGAAGATAGAAATCTAAGACAAAGTTGAAATAAACAAATTAGACTTTAAAAAAGGAAAGTAGGAAATAATGCTTAACTGAAAATTAAAACGGTAGAAAATAGGTGCAATTGCAAAGAATTCCATCACATTTTAGTAAAAATCTATTGTATAGACTTACAGTAGGAAAGTTTGTAACTTCTAACGTGGGTCAGATAAAAAAAGGCAAGTGAGTTCATGTAATGTAATTAATCCTTGATTTCAAGTCAGTGACGGTTCATAGTTTTACCAGTTCATTTTGTGTTACTACCTAGTACTCTACGTCTAGACTGAACATTACTCAGCTGGTGATCCCACTACCTGTAAACAATGCTTCGAATTAAACCATGATAATAAATAATAGTAGACTACATATTATAAGTAGTCCTTTTTCTCTTTTTAAAAAGTTGTCAAGATACCTGAGTAACGTAGTGAAAACGTGCAAAACACGTAACTACAGCTGAAAATATAAGGTTACAGTAAAAAAAATACATCCAATTTTACAACGAAGTACTGACTAGCGACTAACATCAAGATGGATCCTTATAATAACCAGCGATGACATGGGACAATTGTTGCACTATATGTGGGGTTAGTGTATGGTAACTATATTACTTATCAATAACCAAGATTTTACCGTTTGACTCTTCGATTAATATGTGAACTAGCTGCTGTTTTATCGGTTAATGCATATTTTACTTATCAGAACATACTGAATGGGTCGTTTTTCGTATTCGTCAGTACTAACAGTTAACTGTTATGACTAATTTTATCATCTTGAATGTAAACTTTAACTTAACCGAATTACCATTTATGGTAGAAAAATCCATTTATTTCTAAGTACTCATATGTAAATATTCCGAGAAGTCAAGATCGTCATCTAACGACTCGAAAATGAGTGCGTTGTTCTAATGAGCTTTACAACATATTGTGAATTGAAAATGTGGATCGCTAGATTTTAACTCAGTGATCAAAGTAGCATAATGATCACCACAAAATTTGAAGGTTCTTAACATAATACTACATAGGTTTGTGAGACTTTCGAAAACCGTTGCCTAATATTCCCTAGTTTTTCAACTGATGTTAATTCAAGGCAAAGTCTCTATTCAAAACAGATAATCATTCAAAACGCATAACCAGTATTCTGGTGGAAAACCTTATTTGACTGTGGATTGGATTGGTTGTAGACTGGATAATTTATCAATTGAGAAAGAGGGAATTACTAGTTATCCTAAATCTCACGAGAAACACAATAGTAAATAACTGAGAAATATGGATGATATCGCCTGAAAACATGTAACCCTTTTTTCATTTCTTCAAAAGAATGACCAAAAGTAATCTTGTAATGAGGAAAATACTAACAGATATAACATCTGTTATGAAATATGATGACATTCAACTGAATACTACAACCGGATACACCAGATTAAGATACAAGATAACCCCATAGTACGCACACACACAACAGCCGACTGACAACTGAGAGTAAGATCATAGAGACAGATAATTGTTCATTAACACAGTGTAGGAATCAGTGTACAGCACGATTAAATCAGTAGTAGAGGAAGTTTACAATAAGACATACTGGCTTATACATTTCACATAGCTGAACATCTGTTGTTTCTTTAACTTATCGCCCAATTATATTTTATTTTCACTAGTTATACATGAATAACTTATTTATAAAATTCTAGTGCAGTTATGAAGTTACAGAAAGGAAGCTTAGAGTGCTTTAGGAATTACATTTTTTAACATGGAATGGAGAATGACTATGGATGATTATGATGATGATATTCGGTAAAATTTTGTCAATGATTCTTAATAACAGTTGAATAATTGTTTAGATTGATATATATTTCATTTGACCTGAAAAATTGATGTGTTTTCTAGTACAGTCGATCCACTACGGACTGATATCGTCGTAGGAGGTGACAAAGGTATGACAGTTTAATAGAAATCTAGTCACATTTTCTACATAATAAGCAAATAAATTGACAAATAGAATGATTATTTGTGACTTATGTGTAAAGTAGGTACTCGTGGTGATGTTCAGCACACCAATGAAACCGGAAGGATTGAACTACTCGGTTGAGAGGACGTATCATAAGAATCATTCGCGTGGATTATAAATTTTCTAAATCTACTTAGTTATTATTTCAATATTTTTCTTCTAAATTAATGATGAATGATGTGTCACTTAGAATGATTATGTCAGCTATTTTTTAAGCTCAATAAATGAAAATAAAAGCACAGTTGACTTGTACACCGGTCTGTCGATAAAAGTAGAAGCATATTAACTAAGAGATGGAATGAAAAATTGATATGACGACACTGAAATAATAAAGACATCATACCTGTTGTAGTCCTTCCGGTTGTGAATTATCTAAATACATGACAAGTACATTGATCACAGGTCTTAGTGATTGTGATAATAATCCCATCTAAATAAAATTAAATATGATTCATGGATAAAAAGGATGATATATCAGCATACTTGTATACAAAGAGGTCCGATCTCTTTAAGTAATCGTTTTTGTACACGATAAGATGTAAGGTATTTGTATGACTTTGATGCCGACGCACTACAAAACAAGCAGAGAAAACAAACCATGTGAAGTGGAAACTCAACATGCAGATATTCGGGAAGTCAGGATATTTTGGAGAATATGATGATGAAAAAGTTGTATGATAGAACACTACAATAAATGCTAACAGAATGATCACTAAACCGAATCAGATGGATATATAATTTTCTTACAGAATCCATACCTGAATTTCGGCCTAATAAGTTTGACCAAACAGAACTGCTGGTTAACCAAGTATATTTTTAAGATATAAAAAATTATCACTTATAATTTGCATTTGACTAGCAATTGTATTATAAAGATTCAGATTAAATAGTTAACATCAAATACATGATAAGGACAGGGCTACTAACCTTACAGTAGCACCACGTGTTAAAAATAACACCAAAGGAGGGATTATCTCTGACGATGCACGTTGTCGAATAAAGTTTCCAGCAACTTTAGACAATACAGTCAAGAGGTCGAATGCCTGTAATAAAAAACGCAGATAAAGTGCGATGGAAAAATATAAATTTTAAATTTTAAAGGATAACCATATCGTTAACGTTGGAAACTATGAGTCCTTACAGACTGTAGTTTTTTTATTTTGAAATACCACATTTTCAATGAATGACCATTTAAACCTAATGTAAGAAGCATTATACTTGATGGTATATGGAGTTGTCTTTTAGCAGATTTAATGCAACCATACAACTGATTGTAACCTCATTTATATTTGGAACATTCACCTACGTTTACCATGAAGGGAGTTTAAGACACTAATAAATTGTTCAAGACGAACATTTCGACGGAATGTGGTGGTTTTAACAGTGGCATTTAATCATTTTTATTAGAGAAAAATTTAACAATCTAGGTATATTTTGCAACATGTAAAAATATTGAAATAGTTGAGTTCGATAAGTAAACTGTTAATAATTATAATTAACAAGCGTTGATTACTACCAATCTCCGTTGGACACAACCCTGAAAATAATTACAAATGTTCACTAAGACATTATAAATAAGCAATTCGACTAAATCAACAAATGTATATTTCATACATGGTTAATCCGTTTTATACTTTCTGTGGTGATTTTAGGAATTCTATTAGCATCAATCATGAAATTTCAATAAATCGTTGACGTAGATACAAATAAACAGTTCATTGAATATTTTCTTCTCTTTTCTTGAATTGTTTACCACAAACTGAAGAAATTAAGTGATCAATTAGATGGTAAATAAAATTAGCTTTATAATTTGGTGTGTACCGTGATTGGGTTAAAAGGAAAATAGCTATAGTAATGTACAGTACACAGAGTGGTAGGATTCTATATTTGTTATTAGTAATATAACATACGAATAAAAGTTACTGACCTATAGAAATTTACTTCGCTATTAATCCAACTTAACATAATGGTTCGAGAATTGACGACTACTCAAAACAATATATTTAACAGTTAAATTGTACTTTTTTATGTTAGTGCAATGTCTAATTTTGATACTGATATAAAAACTTCCATATGCAATTATTTGAATGAGAAGATCGAGAATGAAAAAGTAGCTTTATTGACTAAAGCCTATTATGGACTGTTCACACTCATTCACGAATATACATTTTTTGTCTCCTAGATGATAAGATCATATTTTCAACCAATAGCATGTAAATCCCTAGAAAATCAAGCCGAATTATGTCGAAAGTTATGTATTTATTTGTTTGATTTCAAGTACTATTGTGGTGTGTGCTACTTATATTGACATAAGTAGTATATGATGTTAGTCGTGGACAGAAAGTATGGTAGCAGAGAGACAAGAGGATCGAACAGTAAAGAATGGAAACAGAATGCAATCTGTATGAAAATGCAAGAACAATGAAGTCTGAGTCATTTTGAGACAACTGGTGGACATTTTGCAAATTAAGCATTTACTTTATGATTGTTAGATTTTATTTACAACTCCTGTAATTTTGTGTTAAATACATCCGATTGTCCCCACTCGTATTCTGTTCACTGCATTATCATACTAAGTCGATGTGATGCAGATTAATATGAATAAAAATGAAAATATATAAAGAGAAAAAAAACATCATTTTAAATTGGTTACAAAACTTACTTTTTCAACAACTATAGCGTGATTATCATGAAATCGTTTCATTAAAGACGTCCATATTTTGTGAACAATCGGTAATAATAAATCTACAATATTAATAAAATATCAAAAATGTATAACTTGATATAAAGAAGAAATATATACTGCTTCATAGTAATAACAATGTAGAACATTAATTAAATGGATTAACGAATTCGAATGTCAGTTCGATATGTTGTTACAAATTGGAATTGATTTTATATAGTTGAGTAGTACAATTAGCCGTTAGTTTGAACAATAGAGCTGAGTATATTAACTCATATTTGAATTGAAAGGTCAACTAGACCTTTAATCTGTCTAGTTGACCTTTTTGATTTTCATATAAAAAATGTCTTAACAAGTTTATGTGTGATCAGATTATTCGAAATGTATTGCGCAAATCACATATTACATAATTCTAAAAATCTTCGTCTTCTCATTGGATTATAAAAATTTATCAAAAAGGATTAATTGTTTTAAAGAACATATTTATTAGGATTATTATACCATGAATTATTTAAATAATTTTGATTATTAACATTTAAGTTACTGAGTTCAAACCTATCGCTTTAACAATGTCGTTTTATTCGTACGTTCTATGAGATATATTTAGTTTTATATTAGTAACTCTTGCCATTAGTATTGTTCATCAGTCTGATTATAATACAGTAATCTTCGCTAGACGTATCACACTACCAATTTAATTAATGTATTAACATAGGTAAAGTAACAGAAATGTTAACGAAATCATTGAAATGTATCGTTTAAGATCAAACAATCTTAATAAATCATGAATTCAACAAAATGAACAATGACTGAAATGTATGACATCTGAGATTATTCTGTAGCAGGAATGACAACAAACAATCAGGATGAATTGATTGTGTCTTAGTATAAAAAACAACAACTGAAGTAAATATATTTCACAGCATATTTATAAAGAAAAAAAAGAGTTTAGAAAGAATTGGTGGTTTGATATCAGATGCTTTATTACGGAACATTATAATGTAAATGGGTTAAAGGTGTGGTGAAACCATGGTTAGACAATATAACAAATTTAACCAAGTTTTGAAAAATATGACAGAACTCATGGATTTAAAACATCTAACATTATGCTTTATGATACCGTTAGGAAGTATAGTGAATTAAATAGCAATGAAATAATGTAAAATTAATGATATACGATTGTGTTATTATTATTAGTAGTAAAGTTTTAGTTTTCTTGTTATTGACATCCAGATCTAAACACTAATAATGATATGTGAATACATTTAGCTAACGAGACCTAAACGTGACTAAAATTATGTCCCTGTATTCTCTGCATACAAAAACACAGTGTTCCAGAATATTTTTAGGTTAGTTTGTAGTAGAATTAACTGTTTATTTTCAACATAGATGAATAATATTGTAATACATTAAATAACAAATATTATTAACATTGTTGTCGACTGCATGCTTGAATATCTGGGCTACCTGTTCCTATCATATAGATATTTCAACAAGTTATCTTTATCCGTTTGTTTTAACACATCATTATGTCTATTAATCGTATAACCTATTCAGGCACGTTTATAAAAAGTACAATCAGAGGCATCGTGGTGGCTGACAATATACACTGAAAATAATGAACATTATTCAGATGTCGATTCCTGAACTGCTAACATTTAATTGGCGATTACTCAATATTGATCGTCAGGATCGATCAAGAGATAAGAGAAGTAAACTAGTTGAAATACTTTGTGCTGAGAATTCGATATTGTCCCAAAAATATAATATTGAATAAAGCCAATAATAATAAAAGTAAATTTACAATTTAATTCATAAGAGTTAACATTTTAATATAACTAGTCTCTCACTGGTTTCATTTTCTAACGTCAAACAACCTTCTTTTAAAACATTCATAGAAAGCATACGTAGTTTAGGATTTCCATCAGCCATTAAATGTATACACCGTAACATAACCTGAAATTACGTGAAGAATTGGAAGAAAATTATAATTTGAAACAATTAAAACACATTGATAATTAGGTATAAATTGATAAACTCAGCAAAACAGAATCAAATTACAAGAAATTATAGTAAAACTGGAAAGCTGGGAACAATCGAACCTATGGGTCTCGCTTGCGAATGCTTAACCTCTAGACCACTGAGCCGGCATCCAACAGTGTTAGTGCCTAACCTCAACTAATCCACGAAATTGAGCGATACATTCAGGTTTTCCATGGTGGTCTAGCTTGAATTGACTCATGATCTCAACTATTGAAATTATTATAATATCCACCGAAACCTATTCTGATAAAATTATAATAGTAAACAATTTTAATGGTTTATAATTTACCGTTAATACTCAGAATTGAATGGAAGTGGTGGCTTATTTCAACCCTACCCACCTCGACTACTGCAGTTAAATTCAAAAAGTGAAGTTTATTTTATTAAGAAGGAAAGATGATATGCTGTACTTATCCGACATGTTAATTAAAAGCTAAATAATAAGAGTGGAATGTTGACGAGTGTGCGTTATTGGATAAGATTTGAATTGACTTTCTGTGGGAAGATATATATTTATATGCTACTGGCTTGATTTTCTTAACGAGATAGATAGATATTTATGGATGAATTTATGCACAGAACTCTACTACGATTAAATAGTTAAAGCTCACTATTAATCTTTAGTTTTCTCATTCAAGTAGTAAGTTGAAACTTATATAACAGAAGCAGAATTGAACGACAGATCAGTACAACAGTTAGAAGCTACTGAAAAACAAACTCCTTGAACATAGGCCTCGATATTTTAGGTAGTGGTTATCAATTAAATCAAAGAAGCACGTCTCGTTCTATCTACGACTAATAAGTTGTATGTATTTGGATAACAGTATTAGACTTAAACAACCATGTATATATTCAATGAATACATCGATAGCATAAATAAGTATATATCTTAGACAGCATATATATGAAGTCCTTGAAGTACTTATTACATTTTAGAACCTAAAGAAGATGAGATTTAAAAATTAATTTTGAGACTATTTGTCTGATACATTTTCGGTTACTAGGCTAATATTAATTAGTAATCTTTTATATCAAATTACTTATGCATAAAAATTAAATTATACTTTTATCAATAAAACGAGTTTGTGAAGATTGTTCAACTTTCAGTTATCAATCGACAGCGATAGAATATGGTCATGGAATATAGTGAAGTAATATCGCTGGGTGATGAACTTTTTGGTTTGGAGTTCAAGCATTCATACGCGAGACCAACATTTCTGGGTTTTATTCCATAAGACGTGGTTGTGGACGCCACCACTGAGGAGCTCCAAACTAAGACAATTAAAATTTGTGGCTAATTAGTCAGTTACCAGTTGTTAAATGAATATTTAGTTACTTGCTGCCAGAAGGATAGGAAGGTTTTATTTATTAGTACAAAACCCTAATGGAACAACAGTTTGATGTCCTGAAAATTTTGCCTAACGGATCATGAATAATCAATGGATTCATTTTTATCATTAAAAAAAACAGAGTAGGCTGAACTAGAAAGAAATACAATTTATTACAGCCCATATAGAACAAAATTTACCTACTTCTTCAACTATTTGTAAATGATCGGGAAACGTATGATTTTCATCGTTATCCATATCATCATTCACAGGATCCATCTTAATTTTCTCTGGTTGATTTAAGGTATCAGTATAATTGGCTTCATTAGTTTGATTAATCGGTTTAATGTGATGAAGTGAACGTGTCTCAGATACAAGACTGATTGTTTTTTGATATAAATCAGTAAGACGTGATTTTCTGCATTCTGAATAATTTGTCTGAGGGTAATATATATGGTAATAATGTAGTGTAGTAATTAACGAAAAGAAATGGACCAAGGAAAAACAACAAACGCAGCACAATAAGAAAAAAGTTAATAAGTCAATGTGTTTACAGCAGTGTAATTGTTCGTCATCTGCTATGTTGGTAAACATAATTTTGATATTTTAAAAATGTCGAAAGTAAACAATACTCAAATGAATTCGAAATGATTATGTTTCATCAATGACATTGCTATTATAAAAGGTTAAAACCAAATTTGTATATTTGAAAGAACCTACAATGGTTAAACTCGCATTATTCTGAAGATCTGTAATCTTTAGTATTCAATTACTTCACTTTCTTTATTATTGTGTCATTCATCTTCTGAGCTTTACTAATTTGACTTAGTCAATCTAGCGAATTTTATGCTTGGTGTTACGCAACTTTTTGATTTTTTTTTTCACCTTTTAGAAACACTTCTTTATGTGTTTTGAAGTTTTTCTTCACGAATTCCTACATATGATAACAGATAAATATTCATCCATTACAGCAGTTTACAATTTTCCCATACTTGTTGTTAGTCTATACATTTTCATGGATATAATGCAAAGTATGCATATTGGTTGTAAATAGTAATTATTATCGTTTCCAAGTTGTAAGCAACTGAAGAGAAATCATGAAATAAAACGATTTATATTACCACAGCTTTAAATCGTAAATTGATCTTAGGTAGACCACCATTGAAAACCAGGATTCACTGGACCGATGTTTCGTTTCAGTATGTGATTCTTCAGAAGGACAGATCCATGACCTCTTCACAGTGAATCGAATCCATGCGTCTTCATTAATGAATAGCTTCATGATGCAATACTTGGGGTTTACCAAGAAACTGTAACCAGTGAAGTTCAACCATGTCGGATGTCAGACAGTTATTAACAGAAAACAATGGCAGATCCGTCGACTAATATCGTGAATTCATTGAAGTTGGACTTTACTACTGTTGGGTAACAGCTTAGCAATCAACAATTTAAGCTTTCACATGAGAGATCAAAGGCCTTGGGTTTGATTCCCTACAAAGGAGTCGTGGACGCGCACTTCTGAAGAGTCCCACACTAGGATAAAATAGATGACCAGCGCTTCTCGCTTTTAATGATATTTTAACTAAGATTAGTTTGTGATTTAAAACTATGAAAATTCTATAATTTCCACAAAACACTATGCTGATAAAAATTTATATAATTCTCCTACGTTTGTGGTTTTTGCTTTAGTTAAATGTATCTATGAGAAAATTTGTATACTGTATGAATATACTATTTATATAAACATTTACCGTTTTCTGTTGATTAGTTATTGATTCAACTACTGGAGATGAATCAGTTGCTCGGTTCGAACACTTGTTATTTCTCGTCACTAATTCATTCCATTTACGACATGTTTGCATTAATTGATAAAATGGTGTAAGGAAAAGTTCCGTTGTATATTCATATGTAACATCTAATGATGAAAGCATCTGGTAGGAAAGAAAACAATAATTCGTTTAAACATGACAGCTATGCAAAGTTTATACACAAAAGAGACTAAAAAAACATTTGATGAAGAGTATTTGTAGATCAAGTTGATGATTTGGAAGGTAAATGGAACATACTCATTAAGATACAAAGAAAGATCGGCTCAGCGAAGAGTTTTCTTTTTGGAAAATTCATTTTCAAAGTTGTACGACTGTAATTATACTTATTTTTCAAGGTGATACTAATTACAATAATAGTGATAATAAAATTCTGTTAAACATGGTAACAGTGAAGTAGAATAAACAAAGGTATTAAAACGATATTTTTATCAGGGAAAATAATGAGTCTCATTGTTAAGGGCTTGAATATTCATCATGGAAATAGTGAAATTAAAATCAGGAAAGTAAGGCTGAGCATGATAAGATAAATTATTGAGATTGAAATGAAATGTAATCAGGAGGATCATAGAAACAGAAATAAACAGGTTGTGGGTAAAACGTCTATAGAGAGGATAGAAGGGGATGAAGATGGCTATGAAGGAGGAAAAGTATGAAGAAGAAAGAAAATTATGAGACATTAAGACCATCATAGAAGAGGTTGTACCTGTTTGGACACATAATTCCGGTTTTTTCAAATGTATAGCTAGTGCTTCGGTAATGCTAAGATGGGATATAACTGCATTTGGCAGCTTTCTATTTACCTCGTGGATGACTTAAAACCCACACTCCGCTTTGATCGAGTAACTTGTGTTCACAAGGTTTTCGATTATTGAGCCTTTATCTCCGCTTTTTAGCCGAGCAGGGTGATGTTCTTGAATTTTTCGGATAAAGTACGCATCAAATGACTTATATACCTAGCTCCGCATAAACAGGTGAATTGATCGGTGCACACAGAGTTGGTCAAATGAGATAATTTATCCTTATGATTATTATCTGCTGGAGAACACTATTCGCAAAGTTGATACGAAGAACGTTCTTTTTAGAAAATCTATCGTTATGATGAATATTCAAGCCCTTAACAATAAAATTATCATTATCTTTCCCGATAAAAATAATGTTTAAATACCTTTGTTTATTCTACCTCATTTTTACCATGTTTAACAGGATTTTATTATCACTATTATTGTAATTAGTATCATCTTGAAAAATATGTATATAATTACGATTTTACAGCTTTAAAAATGGCAGCTATTGTATTCACGGAGCTAAATGGTTTAATTGGAAAAGGATTCATTACTTTTCTACATCATATCATCAGGATTTACTTGAAAAAGAAGTCAGGAATTAAAATTTATTCACAATTGATTAATTTTTTATGACCGGAGTCAGACAAGGCTGTCTACTCTCTCCCTTCCTCTTTCTTCTGGTGGTCGACTGGATTATGAAGACCTCGACATCTGAGGGAAAACGCGGAATACAATGAACAGCTCAAAATCAATTAGACGATTTGGACTTCGCAGATGACCTAGCCCTCCTATCGCATACACACGAACAAATGCAGATAAAAACATACAGTGTAGCAGAAGTCTCTGCATCAGTAGGCCTCAACAAACACAAGGAGAAAACCAGGGTCCTCAAATACAACACGGAGAACACCAATCAAATCACACTTGGTCGGAAAACTCTGGAAGATGTAGAATCCTTCGCATACCTGGGAAGCACCATCGATGAACAAGGAGGATCAGATGCCGACGTAAAGGCGAGGATTAGCAAAGTTAGGGTCGCATTCCTACAATTGAAGAACCTATGGAACTCAAAACAACTGTCAACTAATATCAAAGTCAGAATTTTCAATACCAACGTTAAGGCAGTTCTACCGTACGGAGCCGAAACTTGGAGAACTACAACAACCACCATCAAGAAGGTACAAGTATTTATAAATAGATGTCTACGCAAGATACTCAACATCTATTGGCCAGACACCATCAGCAACAAACTTCTGTGGGAGAGAACAAATCAGCTTCCAGCTGAAGAGGAAATTAGGAAAAGACGATGGAAATGGATAGTACATACATTACGCAAATCATCAAACTACATCACGGGGAAAGCCCTAACTTGGAATCCTGAAGGGAAGCGGAGAAGAAGGCCAAAGAATACATTACGTCAGGAAATAAAAGCAGATATGAAAACGATGAATAACAACTGGAAAGAGCTGCAAAGGATTGCCCAGGACAGAGTTGGATGGAGAATGGTGGTGAGCGGCCTATGTTTTTTTACGAGGAGTAACAGGATTAAGTACGTAAGATTAACTGTTTATCCCACTAACTTGTAATTAGGTTTGTTATTATTTATAAGTGTCTAACCATCATTTTAATATTTATCTCGATTGCTTTCGTCTATGATTTGATCTTAGAAAGTAAAGTATTCCTTTTTCTTATTGTGAAAAATAATAAACTTTCACTGTGCTTCCTCTAATTAGTACTTTGATAACTTCCAACTTTAATAGATCACTTATGTTTGAAGTATGTACTCATGATATTATTTAGATGACTAATGAAAACCTTGTGATTAAATCAACCAGTTCAAAATAATGCAACACCTTCAAAAATTAGAATTTTAAAAAAATCATTTAAATAAATTGTTCTACTTTTAAAATGAATGTAAGTAGTGCTGAAGCTGAACAAGAAAAAAAATCAAGTTTTATTCCATTTGTAATGATTTTGTGTGTGGATTATTCCGCTGTTCGTATTTTTGATTGATATATATGTTTTTTGTGAGAATTGCCTCAATATATTCATTATGTCACAAGTTTTTTGTAGAATAGATGGAATGTGGATAAATTACAAATTAAATTAAAAATTCAGACTTGTTGTTCAAATGAGTGGCTATGTGAACTCAGTAGCTAATAGGATGATGCGTTGGGCGTTTGAATAGAAGTGAATTCAGTTTGGATCTTGTAGTGAAGATCAAATCTGAGATCCAGGTACATCTAGTTGGTCAGTTTTATATAAGATGAAACAAGCGTCCTGATTTCTAATGCTAACTATATTCCATCTATTTTATAAAAAACGAAGTTTTATCGCTGTTTCCTAATTTGAGTATATTTTTTATTCCGTAATCATCTCAAACAGTTACACAGAACGTAAGGTTCGAACATTAATTATATTCTCGTGTAAGAATAAAGAGCTGATGTCAAAATCCACTGCTATGCCAAGTAGTAGAACACTTCGATCTACGTGAGACAAATTCAAAACATAAGCATCGTAGTACACTTTTTAAAGTTCATTTACAAGGTATAGATTTGTCCATTTGGCTTCGAGCCACATTCTTAGTGTGATGACTACAGAGAAAAGTCGGTTACCAAAAACAGTCATCTGAGTGGCGTTCTAACCTGAGAATCAGAGACCGGAAGTTGAATAGCGTAACAACTGAGCCACAGCTCGAAAAAATCCCGACCGTTGTTGCTACCTTGACGTGGTGGTCGGACTTCCCTATCGTAGTGAAGCAACCGTGCTATACTGGCTGGAACAACCGTTCTTCAAGGTCCTACCATGTCAGACAGGTCGGTTGAAGAGAGGTAAGACTAAAGGCAACAAACACAAGGTCCGAAGGTCAAGTCGTACTGCTGTCTGTACAGAGGTGTGACAACAGTAAGGTGTTTCCTTCAGACAAGCAGCATGACAGCGATGCTGCCTTCCCACAAGAAGGGGTGGGGTTAGAAAAAGTCGATCGTAAAAATGCACACCTCGCCTTATCCCACGGATATCCGTCTCCGGCTGTAAGGTCTCAACAAGTACGGAGCTAACACAAAAATTACCTATAAAAAGGTCATGTGTGACCGTGGTCTCTCTTGACGTAAAAGCAGCATTTACCTCCGTAGACCGCGAGATTCTGTGGCAGTGTCTGTCATTGAAAAGCGTACCTCAGAAAAACGTAAATATTGTGAAGGCTCTTTATTCGAACACTACTAGTCGAGTGAGAGCTTATGGCGAACTGTCATCTACTTTTGCAACCTCAAGTAGTGTCTGTCAAGGCTGTCCACTTTCTCCATTTTTGTTCAACTTCATCATAGACCTACTAATGGAAATAACATTCTTGTCGACTGAATTCTCGGATATTGATCTCCTACCAGGAGGTCCACTTATCGACTTAGAATACACAGATGACATAGTCCTGTTTGGTGAAGATGCTGACAAAATGCAGTCTTCTGGTAGCACTAAGCAACAATGCCAGAATGTTTGGAATGCGCTTCTCTCCCTCGAAATGCAAGTTTTTGCTTCAGGACTGGCTTACGTCAACACCTGAACTAAGGATAGGGAGTGAAGTGGTCGAACGCGTCGACAACTTCACTTATCTTGGAAGTCTGATCAGCCCTAATGGGTTGGTATCGGACGAAATCTCAGCACGGATACGAAAAGCTCGTTTGGCTTTTGCCAACTTACGTCACCTTTGGCGAAGGCGAGATATCCGTCTATCAATAAAAGGACGAGTATACTGCGCGGTAGTCCGTTGTTTTACTTTACGGCAGCGAAACATGACCGTTAAGAGTAAAAGACACTCGTAAGCTACTAGTATTTGACCACAGATGCCTTACAAATATTACTGGCGTCTGTTGGGATCACCGGATAAGTAATAGTGAGGTTAGACGTAGAGTATTAGGGAATGATGGTAAGTCAGTTGGTGAGGTTGTGAATCCTCATCGACTGAGATGGTTGGGCCACGTGTCACGTATGTCTGAACACCGATTACCACGACATGCAATGCTAACCGGTGTTGGAGGTGGTTGGAAGAAAGTTAGGGGCGGCCAAACCAAAATGTGGCATCAGTGCTTGAAGTCACTAACTTATAGTCTTAGCCATGTTGGTAGATGCAGACTACTTGGTCGGGGTCCGCGTGAATATCGTAACCAATGGTTGTAGACCCTGGGTGACATGGTTCAGAATCAATCACAACGGTGTAGGTGTATACACTCTTTGTCTTCCCTTAAACTAAGAGATTAAAAGCGCTTCATATCTTTCTTTCTACGAACTAATTCTTTCTTCCTGTACTATATCCTTATATGTAATCTTTCTTTTATATATTACTACCATTGAATTAACTACTTTTATGAATTCGGTGTTCATCTTGTTGTGTTAGCGAGGAATGGCAACTTGGACTGATGCATATATGTACCTGGTCCTACGTTGTAGCTGACTGACTGAGCTCCACAAAATACATGGTCTTTGTAAATTTAATTAATAGCTGGCTAGCACATTAGCTGATACTTTTTGAACAAATTTAACACCGTTTGTCAAGTAGCTTGAATTATAATAAAAGGGAAATATTTAAACGTAACGATTAAACAAGAATCAAATGGATCTTGTATGTTTTTCAAACTCATCAATTGTTACTGTGAAATAGAACATAATTATGGTCTTAACTTACATCTGGTTCTCAATTTGTATACACGACTAAAAAAAAGCTTTTTTGAACAATGATACTTTTGAAGTATCGACAGTGTAGGTGAGAAAATATAGAGAACTTTAAGTCAGAAAATGTGGGCGAAGTGAGTAAACTGTTGAGTGACATTATAGAGAGCAAGAACAAAGATTGGTGCAGAATAATATGAATTCATTTCGTTTCGTTAGGTTCTCATCAGCTGCTTACAACCTAAAATATTTAGAATTCAACATTATTACAGATGTTGACATATTTATGCATAAGAGAGTGATTAAGGATGAATAAATGTATCATGGTGTAGAGAAGATTCCGATAGAGTTAATGAGGTCATAACATTTTGTCTCGAATAAATATAGTTTTAGTTGAATAAAAATAGGCTAGTTTTTCAACGAAGCCCATCCAAATATCCATTTCACTATGGATCATGAAAAAGAAAACAAGTCCCATTTTCTCGATATCGCAATAAAACAAAGAAAGGATGGTACAGTTCAACGTTCAGTTTATAAAAAGGACACATGGAATGGAAGTTATCTCAATTTCAATAGCTTTTGTCCAATCAGTTACAAAATGGCACTGGTCAAAACACTGTTTCACAGAACAGAAAGAATATGTACTGCCGATACACTAGAAGAGGTTGTAAGCAGCTGATGAGAACTTAACGAAACAAAATGAATTCATATTATTCTGCACCAACCTTTTTCTTGCTCTCTTTAAGATAATAAAGGGAACTATGTGTATGAAATGTTGAGTAACAGTTTGGCCAAGTATTAAGAAGTTCTATTATAAAAATATTTGAACAAATTTATAATGTAACGGTAAGAAAATAAAAAACCCAAGATAATTAAATTACTTTTGTAACCATTGGTTTTAAAACTGGCAGTACGTTGATTGTGCAGTATTCAAACAAAGCGTTTGTAGCATTACAAGCTGATAATAAGCTTTGTTCAACTTCACTCGACAGAGAAATTGCATTGTTACCATTTGATGAATTTGTCATAGTCAATAAGTTAACGCGATGTAAATCTAGAGTTATACTGGAAACTAAGTGGTTAGCATTAGCTGTAATCAGTTCGCTTACGCTGTAATCAAAAGAATGAGAGAGAGCGCGAAGAAAATAAGTGATTTTGATTATATGGAATATAATTTACAAAGAAGAACTAAACCAATTCATTGACTGAATTGTAATAAAGACACCTAGAGTTTGAACCTGAAACACATCAGAACTGTGGACTACTTTATGTCGAAAGATGTTCGTTGATCATCTGCAGCTTTCGTTACGATAGGCACACAAACTTCAAGTCGTTTATCACGAAGGAACGACTGTGAACAAATGAATCAATAAATCATACCATCTCCTTTCAATGTTGTTCAAATTAATATAAAGTGATTTAGTAACTTGATGTGATTTACAAAAGCCTCAGTCAATTTATAGATTGTGTAAATCGCTTATTATTAATAATAGAGTAACACGATATTGGATATACAACAAATTAGCGGACCTTATTTATGTCACACGACATAGAGCAAATCAATAAGATCAGTGAAGAGGATATAAGAAAAGGGGAGTAAACGTTCATTCGCAAACAACATCCAACAAATAGCTTTTCCTAATAGCTTAAAGTTCTCTGAGGCAGATAGTTTAATCATTAAATTGAAATAACCAAATACCATATACGAAATACATATTGATTTTCAAAAACCAGATTATATCATGTCCTCAGTATTCTATAAAATTAGTTATTCAGGCATATACAGTGAAATTATTAAGCTTGATAGATGGTTCAAACAAGCATTAGCAGTTACATGTTCTATATAATAAAATATTATGTGAGTGATACAAATAGAAACTCTAAGAAATTTCAATTTATGAATCGCAGAAAAACACACCATAAAACTAACCTTGAATATTTACAATTCTTAGCTACTTGATCTAAACAAACTCGTGCAGTTTGACCGATTAAATCAGAACGTGAAGCAAATGATATAGTTGGAAGTAAACCAATACGTAAGCATTCAGTGAAATGTTGATCAGTATGAACTTTTTCAACGTCATTATTAACTGTTAATGTATTCAACTTTTGATGATTTTTTTTCAATGAATAAAAAATATAATGAGGTAAATAAGTAGTAAGTTATGAAGGATAAATAAGAAAGTATTTGTAATAGTTGTTTGTATTTAATTCTTTCTGAAAATGTTTTTACATTTGTAGTGGCTGGTACTGTGTCAAGACCACATAGGCTATTCTAGCTTCTAGACATACCGATTTATTCATTCTTCTCAAGCCACATTTTACCTTCTCAATTATCCGCTTATTAATCCTGATCATTTTTATATGATCGTATGTGTGTTGATTGCTCATCCTATTTATTACATGTCTGTAAATTATTTTTGTTTGGATAAATATATTCAGTCACGCTTGATCAGAACGTGTTGGCTCACTCTCCTCCGCTGAGAATCACTTCGTTTCCCTACTTGTCTGTTCCGACCAACCAGTGTGGGAAATATACGTATTTTAAATTCATTTTTGTATTTGGCTTATTTCATCCCGTTATTCTCTAGAAACAATTAGGTCGATGATTACACATACGACAGTTGGCGGTATGCATATTTCGATAACAATCAGCACACGATTTAACTGGAGTCAGATATTGGGTCACCAAATATTCTTTCAGCAACTGCAAAATCCATTTAATCCGTTAATGATCTTAATGAGGTTTATTACTCTGAATTTGATAGAATTATTTGAGAATTTTGTAGTATCCTTTCGATTTGTCCTACTAGTGTAGACTGATTGAACAATGGACTAATCAACACATTCCGAGTTAAACTATCATTTAAAAAAGGAATCTGGCAGTTTGTATAAAGATTTATTCTTTTTGTGTATTACATTGAATTAATCCGGTTTTATTGTCCATAAACCTGTGTTTCAGTAGCTTTAACCACCATGTCATTAGGTTAGATGCAAATTTACTAAGTAATGTTAGGGAAACCTATTGATAACTTTTATGAATTAATTAACATTCAGAGTTCGATCAAATTAAGAGGTACCGCGAAATCGATATTTTTCATTTTTTTTATCTTTTCTTTTCCTAAGACAAAAGTAGGTGATAACACTGCAAACACAATGATGTGGTTAATTATTACATATTCTATCTAATTTTTCATTATACTGCTTTTTGTATAGTATGTAAATATAACACTGGCAAATGATGCAACACATTTATTAGCACGTATTTAATACATAATGGTAGACTCTCAAGCTATACAAATACACAGTGAATTCTTTTCTCTGAAACTTTCCACAGAACAGTGATGACCAAATAGATGAATTACTAAACTTTCAACTAATCAATCGTACATGCAAAGCCTAGTTCATCTACTTCAGTTTGCGCAGTCATAATGTGTTAGTACTAGCCATTACATAAACAATGTAGCTTAAGATCGAATACATAAGACGGTGTCTGGTCAATACGTTAAGTTTATTTAAAGGATATCTAAAAGTAGACATTTATGTGTGTCCCGATACAGACGCATACATAGTACATAATGTATACACAATAATCCATAACTTTAAACATCATACCGAATAATTGTGACTTGGTAGTAATTTGGAAAAAAAATTAATATTGTGTTTAGTCAATGGTTCATTATGAAGAAATCAGATCAAAGATGAGAAAAGAAGGGAAGGTTTTTCTCCCAGGAACCTGGGTAATAGACCAAAACTGACGGATCATAAGTTACTGAGTAAACAAAAACACAAATTACCTAATCCTTTGAGTTAATAGGACTGTAGAATGTGGAGAATGGAGTGAACTTTACTTTATTACAATTAGTCGGAGGTAAAATGGTAGGAGTCTTGTACTGGTTGAAAAAGGGTATCTCCAATTCGGCATCCTCTATGGGATTCGTACCGGTATCTTCCAGAGATGAAGACTTCACCACCGAGCTATTCATGATTGAGTTATTTAGAGTAACTGACTAATAATAAACACTTAATTTCATGTTTTCCAATTTAGGTTGATCAGGTTCAATCGACTAAGCTTAGACGTGACATGACATTGATTTATGCTAAGGCGAATTAATAAGTTCAAATATTCCAGTCCTAAAAGTCATTCGTTCAACTGCTATGCTACTGAAACTCTAGATTATGAGACTTTGAATGACCTAGGGATTATCAGTAGTCGCTAGCTGAAGCTTGTTGACTGTTTTTTTTTCAATAACCTAACAGATTAACATTGATGATAAGTAGTAGTAACACTCACTAAAAAAGCAATAAACCTAAATTAGAATGAAATTATTTAACTACACAGATTTCCATCTATTTAATGTTAACGTATAGAAAAGCAAGCGAAGCTAACCTGTGAAACAGTACAAAACATTTCTAGTAATAAACAGATTGTAATTGACTTCATTTTCACATCTCCAAGTTGATTTATTTCAGATATTGCAGGATTCTCATTAGAATTTATAGGTGGCCATGATTTATATGTGCTTACATTAGACAGATGATTGGTAGGTATTCTATCATTTGATAAATGGACTAGTGATGTCGAATAATCCATATCATTATTACCGTTGGTGATAATAATGTCACTAGTGGTATTCACACACTTAGATGGACGCGTAGGTAATGTTAATACGTCTCGATCAAAGTATAAACTCATAAGGCTTCTGAAAAGAAACAAAAATATGTAAACACGAAATCTAAATAAATTTCAGTGATAATCAGAAATATCATATGTAGACTAAAAATCAGGTTTGTGAATTAAATCTTCAGTTATGATAATTATGTATCAGAGTCTTGACGGCTTAACCAAATTCTTCAACACAACTAACAAGGTTTCCTGGTTTAGTCATGTTTTATCGTAGATTCATACCTGATTGTTCAAGGTCAATGCAACATTTGACAAATTCTCTTCAGGGGAAACCAAAACAAATTGGGTTGAATTCTGAGGCTATCGAGACTGTTAAACAGCTAAAGGAAAAACTATCCCAAGCATATACGTTAACGTATCCAAATTCTAACTCCCCACTCTCCTCGATGGCTGACACTTCAGTCAGAGCAGTAGGCGATGTCCTTAACAAACTGACTGGAAACACCCTGAAAAACGATTGCGATCTCCTCAAAATGATTAGTTTCAGCAGACACTAAATATTTGACCTTCGGACGGGAACGTCCTGCAGTCTAACTATCCATCAAGCACTTCCGACACATGTTGTAAGAGAGGGAGTTCATAGTTTATACAGGTCATAAACCACTAGCCAATACATTAAAAGTTGGAGATGATAAATGTTCTCGTCCATAGGTCCGACACCTTGACTACACATCACAGTTCATCAATGATGTCCGAAATGTCAAAAGTCAGGATAATCGGGCGGCAGATGCATTATTTCGGATGGAAATGAAAATAATACAACAATCTACAGTAAGTTTCGAGACGATTATAAACGGTATCAAGAATTGCAAAAACCATTTGCAGCAAAGAACCATCACCTACTGAAGGCAGTTTCATGTACTGGGACACGATGAAGGCGATACCTCGACCCTGAAAACTATGCACAAATGCTACTACCAGACTAATCAATGCCAGATACATATAGCCAAATTTACAAAATAGTGTACACCATTCGGTTAAAGAGTGTTCGGTATGCCCAAAATCAAAAATTAACCGTCACACAAATTCTTCTATCGGAGTTTTCTGAAAGTCAGATGCACATTTCGCCTGCGTCAATACCGAATTGGTAGGTTTGTTACTATGTTCTAGTGGCTTGTATTATCTACTGACATGCATAGATAGATTCACAAGGTTTCCCACAGCCAAATCGATAACCGACTTCACATCCGAAATAATGTCTACAGCAATCGTTCAGAACCGGGTGACCATTTTTGGTAGACTACAAACATATAATAAGTTATGTAGCTTTTTAGGTTCACAGGGAGTTAAATTCTCAAGCGAACAATATGCAAATGGTTTTTAACTGGATCCCAAGTTGATTAAATCAACTTTCTATTTTCTAATTCAATGTAATGTATACAAGTATTAGACGAATAGATCAAGTGTAGCTAAGTTTCATCAAGTCTTTATTTTACTTTACACGTACATATCAAACATTCAATCTATATAATATGATGAAAATAAGCTTACAAACAAAGGTTTTCACGTTCACTCCATGGTATTTTATCTAATATGAAGGACAAGAAAAAAAGATAAACAAATCAAATGAGATTCTTCTTAAAAAATAAACAAAATAAATTTGAAAATAAAAGCTTAGAGAGATGTATATTGTTATTAATAAAAGAATGGTTACTTAAATAGATATCGAGAAACTGGATTGAATGATTTCCACATAGATGGCATGAAGTTAATATTTTGTATTCACAGTTGATTAACGCATAATATTCTTGATTATAAAGATTTTTTTCAACACATAAATATTTGTACAAAAGGGCATCAAATATATACGCGCCACACCATATTTGTGTGTATGGGCTGTGATACTGCCTGGGTGCCCAGACCGAAACAGGTGATTTTCTTAGGGGGCCACACCCCGAGCCTTTGACCTAAAGGTCTGATCCACAAGGCAGTGGAGCATCGTGAGGAGATGCAGTCCCATGGTAGCCGGTGACCAACGATTGGTTCTTACGCCATTTGTTCCCGCAGGATACTGGAGCCCATGTGCACCATTGGTTTGAAATCCGGTTAAAGCGCCGGACATTTGCTTTTCGTCCCCTCAATTACGTAAACAACACCGAAATTATAAAGAAGGTGAAAGTCACAGTATATAAAAATAGTAAAACTTCAATAACCAAGTAATTCTATACATCCTTTTTAAGATTCATAGTCAGTCAGAAATCTAAGCATTAAAAATGGAAATCAGTTATACTTAAGTATATTTACAGTTCTACAGCAAGTTATGGGTAATTATTCTACGATGAGAACGAAAAACAGCTTCAGCTTTACAATGAGTTCTCAGTTGACCATAGCTACTACCTTGGTGTGGTAGTCAGTGTTGCTTATTATGATGAGACTACAACACATATTCATCTAGGTTCAACTGTGTCAGGGAGGTTGGTCGGATAACGGCAGGGCTAAAACCACAAAACTTGCAGTTTGAGGGAGGTGTGCTGTTGATTGTACTGAGGTGCGATGGTAGTAAAATGTTTACCACAAACAACCAGTATCTTCACCAATGCCGTCTTCTCACAATAGAAAAAGCATTGTAAAAGTTCATTCTTATAATACACTTAAACCCATAGATTTCTGTTGCCGGCAGTAGAGCCTTATAAGTACAAAGCTAATGCATCAAAAACCACCCACAGTAAGGCGATGTGTGACTGATCAAAGAACTCTGAGGTTCAGCTACTAGATCGTCAATACAACCCCTGCCTAAGTTTCCTTCCTGTGTCCACCAAGAAAAAGTATCCTTCCATATTGAGAGTACCCAACAAGTGACACTTTCATTGTTAGTAACTCATTTACCAAATTCAGCTTCGTGTACTTAGTTTTAAACGACACTTTACATATGAGGGCTAGTGATAATAGCTGGTTTCATAAACTGAAGTAGATGAAGCGGGATTCAAACCTGAGACTTAGAGGTTGAAGGTAGGATATCTTGTCAATTTTGCAATCATTAAAAACTTAGCTGCCCATATCTTTCATTTATCCATTTATTTATTTGAATACATAAACATTGATACAAGGAGGCACCAAATATATATGCGCCATACAATAACAATGAGGTCAGTAGTAGTTATAATTGATTTGTTTGGGGGCTGTGATAATACCCGGGTGCCCAAATCGAAGCAGATGGTTTTTGTAGAGGGACACACACAGAGCCTTTGACCTAAAGGTCTAATCCACAAGGCAGTGGAGAAACTTTAGGAGATGCAGTCCCATTTACAGTACACCAGTGGTTTGTAGCCAGGGTATTCCAGCTCCCCTAGGTGGATCCTCTATGTTCGCCAGTCCGGTTAAAGCGCTGAACACTCGCTATTCGTCCTCTTAATTTCGTAAAAAGTAACCCCGCCGCGGGAAGACAGTGAGTAGGATTTCCCAGAACGTGACTATATACACGTGGCCATGTGAGAGCATTTCGAGAATGAGAGCGGACTCTCCCCACCCTCGGCCATGCCAGGGCATTCGGAGGCCTGTAAGTGGCCAATTTTCGGAGTGTAGTGCGCTAGTTGTCGTCATCGATTTATGCAACAGAACCGGTTGTATCAGAGTAACTCAGTCGTTACTAATGCCGCAAGTATTGTAGATCCACACAAAACCTCAAACACTCACTTCGTACACTCACTCAATGATTATCTAAGAGTTGTATATAAAAAAACATATTCAACAAATTCAGTTTTTTCATTACTAAGCAATAAGATACTACAGAAAATAAAATCCTTAGAATAAAATGAAAAGATTAGCGACACATTATATTTTAAATAATTCCAGAGGAAACGAGAATAAATCTACCGACAATGTTATAAAAATTGACCACAATCTGACAAGTACCACGCAACCACTTACGCCATTGTATGTTAGGTAGTGTAGGAATAGATAGGGAGATAGAATTTATAACGGAAAAATTGAAGTTCGAATTTAGTAGTACGGAGACCAATGCACATGATTAGCATTCATTAAATTATGAATCTGTTATTGTTGTAGTTTGAAATGTAACAACTTGAAAGTAGTACATATTTGTGCCAAGTTTTATATGTTTTCTTTTCAGTTAGGCAGTGTATGAAAAGTCGCCCAAGTGGAAGGACTGCTTCCACTCATATGATTAGCCTTATTTAGACTAGACAATTGTTGAAAACCATGAAGGGAAATATATATGAAGGCAAAGAAATGACTTGCAAAGCTGAAGATTTACATGAAGGTAAATGTACAAATGTATGTTGCTGGGATTTAACTAATGTAATAAATACTATACATGTGCACACGCTAGTAAATTTCCCTTTACTGAAAAAATAAAGACTTTTAAGTCAGAGGAAATGTTTTTAAATACCAACTTCCGAAGCGAAATCACAACGCCACAAGACCAGCAAGCAAATCACTTGACAGAACTGCATGGATATGTATTACTCATTTTTCAAGTCAAATCTTAAGCATTCATCTTTGAATTACACTGTTTGTGTGGAAGTTAACGATGCTAATTAGATGACCAAATCAAAATGAGCAGGCTAGGGTTCAGACCTAAGGGTTAATTTTATTGAAAGATTTTTACATTGAGTAACCGCTCCCATTTACGAATCTAGTTATAGTTGGACATGATATCTATTTCGAATAAAAGAGAAAAACGTTTTCCGATAAGGCAATACAGACAAAAGTAATCGAATAACATTTTAATATGTAAATGAAATAAATCTCAACTACGAGAGAACATAAGATTAAATCGACTACTATCATCATTGAATAGCTTACCGCGAGAGATATAACCAGCAATCGCACCTATGATAAGTAGAAGACATGAATTATGTAAACAATTATCACTTTCAACCATAATATCTCGACATGTATCCAAAAATAAGTCAACTGTTTCTCCTGTAAAAATTAAACGAAACATATTTACTGTGATATGCTTCAAAATATAAATAATGTAGTATGACAACAATTTGGGAAAAAAGTTCGTGATACAGAGAATTAACAGTATTTTCAGTGTAGAATGCATCAATAACTAACTGATATGCAAAAGCATTCAGAACAAATACTTTTTACTCAACAAAAAGTTCAGTTCAGTTATGTTATGTCCCGACAAGAATAATGAATGGTAACTCTTGGGATCCATTTATGGACCAATACTAAACGTATATTTTTATCGTATAATTGTTAAGTAAATAAACTGTTCATATTCATATTCCTCTTATTATAAGCTTTATTTTGACCCATAAACTATTATTATATGTTTTACCATTCTTGAGTTATACCCAGTATATTAATTACTACCTCCCTCATTTACAGCCACATCTGGCTAATTCTTGTACAAATGTTGTTTCATATTTTATTGGTACGTTGTGGTCTGTTTGATTGGTATATAAACTCAGTATGTTTGAAATATAATGACTCATATCGCAGAGACTGAGACTTGTGTTTTGGCTAGGCTAGGCAGGAAGCAGGGCCAATCACGACACTAGGGTGCTCGCACGTGTTTTGCGCGTCCTTGGTCCGATCAATAATTCACTGCCCTTTAATCGGCGGTCACAAGATATAACAATAACACTACCTAGTAAACGAATTACTAGTAGGTCCAGCCACTTAATAACATCCCATTTGAACTTACCTGTACATTTACATCCCTATTTAACGAAATATTTACACCCATTAGTTTTTGTTAGAATTACTCATCGACTAGTAACCTCGACACTGGTCTCTTTTAATGAACAAACTAGTGATTTGGAATACTCAAATAATCCACCACTTTTAAGAGGTTAGTATAAAGAGATAATGGTCTGAATCAGGGTCTTATAACACCTGGGATGGATTTCACGAGTTACTATTTCAAAAGTAACAAGCACTACGCAAATACTCCATTATACGTAGATGTACATACTGCGAGGCATGCGAGCGTAGGATAAAACTCATATATGTAAACATATAGTACCACTTTACTAAAAGAATGAAATCTAGGTTTTTTAGTGTCAGACGATTCGTTTATACAACTGAATCCAGTTACTTATATTAATATCGGGAAGGAACCCTGGTTGCTAATTCATGAGAAATGTTAGTCAGTCAGTATCAACGTAGAACTTCGTACGTACGTACATCAGTTCGAGTTGCCATACCACCATGATGATACAATCACTGTGTAAATTATTGAAGAGTTAAACATACTCACAAAATCCTATAAAAATATAACAAACTTACTTTGAGATGCTATTTTTCCAGCAATAGCCTGAATTATCATCAATGTTGAATGATCACGAAAATACTGAAATGACTTCCGGAATAAATTACACGGTAGTATAGAGTTTGCGGGAATACAATGAACTAGTAAAAAATATAATGAAATAAAAAATAAACGAGATTGAATTTAGTTGTTTTATTATGAGTGTATAATTCCAAAGTATAATGACAAAGCTACGTTAAGAAGCAATCCAATACGATATTATAAAGTGTTAGACTACATACAATCAACAGGATAAGATCAACAGAATTCCAATTCCATTACGTTATCATTAATAGTAAGTCGGAATACTGTTAATGAGTCCGGTAGTCACATTAATCAGCGGAATAAAGTACGATATATTGTATTCGAACTAGTTTATCATTTGATAGCTAGACAAGTAGATTGTGAATGAGGTATATCGACCACCATTATCTGCCAGAAATAGACCTGCATACACATGTAGTAATCAGTGAATAAACACCCCCATGTAAGTGAACCATCGATTCCACAAAATTTGTAAGGGTTTCTTCCAACTTCTAACTGTTCGAGTAATGGACAGTCATCAACTTAACATTAATATTGCCATAATAAACCGAAATGCGGACACTAAATACATAGTGACGTACTGTAAAGTGCCACTAATAGAGATGACAGTCAGAAATAATGTCCAAAAACTAGTCTCTAACTGACTCACATGTGAGTGACCAAAACAATGTACATCTCACAATAGCTTGTAAGATCTGTTGATGTTCATTTTTTTTGTCAAGTATTTTGTATTTAAGCACCTAATCTTACTACAAAACAACTTATACTACCAGTTAAATATCTTATTATTGAGTAACACTTCATTTAGGTGCTTACATTGATAATTCAGTCTCGTGGAGAGTTGTCATTCGAGCATATTGTATTGTGGTGTGAGCTACTTATATTGACATAAGTAGTATATAACGTGCGTTAAAAGAACGTAATGCTCGGCAGCAAAAGATGGCGAAGACCAAGAAAGGTGGAGCGAGAACATAATGGAATTTGTAAGAAAACCTATGAACAATGGAATGGGAGACAATGGATTAGTGATTGCAACTTGAACAGTACAGTTTGATATGATGCATTGATAATTTGCAAATTGACGATTGACTTTATGGTATTCAGATTTTGTTGAGATAGTCTGTAATTTTCGTGCTAAATACATCCGTTTGTCCCCACCCGTGTTCTTGTTCACTACAGTATCATTATTGATTAACATACTATTCATCATACTAATGACTTTAGAACAGTCATTATTCATCAAGAAATTGGGAGCACTTCCTTTGGAGCATTAGTAAGTACTTCTGATACGGATACAATTAACTTGTTGAACATCTCAGCAATAAAAGCGCCTACCCCACTGGTTATAAGGTTATCAAGTGAAAAATTCGAACATTTGACATATACTGCAAACAGTGGTAAACAGTTGTTAAAAGCTGGTTTTGGAGCAATAAATATTGAAATATGTATGAAGGATTTGTGGGAATTATTAGGATTGAACTCAGAATATTGAGGTCTCGTGACGAGATCTAAAACCTTAGAGTGACGATTCGGCATCCAACAGTGTACATGTTTAACTTCAATCAATATGAGATATTGCGCGACCAACTTTCAATGTCAATGATGTGTAATTGCCACACAGTCTGTGGTGTAAACTACAAAACAAAAGTGTGTATTGCAGATACAAACAACGAAAACTGCTTGTTTTCACTTCAACCATTCGGATACCTCAAACAAAAAGAATAATATATGAAACGTATAGTGGATATTGGATATGAAGCTTCAGTTATCCTATTTACTTACCAGAACTATGATCGTAATTGAGTGGCAACAAATAGATTAATTCTTGCAACTCAACAGAACTAAAATTAAAGTTCAAAAATTTGGCCAAAGCAGAACAAAAGCGATGAAAAGTTTCAGATGAATGAACAAAAGTACAAATATCCTCAGGATCTGAATCAAGCACAGATAAAAAGCAGAAACAAAACACTGAGGTTTCTAATCGTTAGACACGAAAAATATGTAAAATACAAAAACTTTTTGACAGATTAATCGTTTGTTTACAGTGAAATAGACGATCTTGTTACTCTAGCATTAAAATGATAATAAGTCAATCACTGTTTGAAATATTGAAAACATTTCAGAGTATCGAGCAGACATAAAAAAACTAACTAAAAATAATGTTACTATGGTGGGTTTATGGAGATTTTCAAAATTTCACAGGTAGCAGGGTTATGAATGCACATCGCTGAGGAGTCCTGTACTAAAACGAAACACTTATCCAGTGCTTCTTGTTTTTCCAAGGTTGTTTAACTAAGATCAGTTTATTATATTAGCTATAAAAATTTTAGATATCATTATCAAGGTTTGACTTGATAATTTCGAATAAATTGAGCATTGGGTAGATTGTTATAAATAAATTAATATATTCATAATATCTCACTGGGATATTACAAGTATATTTATTTATGAAAAATTGTATTTGCATGAAAGTAAACATGCATTCTTAATTGGTTTCTTGATAATTATTGTGAGACGATTTATTGGATACAACTGATTATAATCCTTATAGGTATGATGAATAGCATGTAAACAGTAACAATGATTTAGTTTTTGGAATTCCTTAAGGGGACCATTTGTTGTGCATCATTGAAAATAATTTAAGGTAGAGACAGATTACATAAGTCTGGATGGTATGGTCATCTGTTCACGGCTATTCTCCAAATAAAACATGTGATACTGTTGTATTTCAAGTAATTTTCTAGGCTTTTAATTCATTAAGAACGAGAAAACAGGGTGTCAATCTTAAAACTAGCAATTAATTGTCGTGAAAGTGTTACACTTACACTTTCTCATAAATAAAATGATGTGATAAGGGATTCTAAAGTGTCGACATGGGTATTTAAGGAACAAATAGGATAAATGAAATAAAAATACTGTAGTTATGGGACTTTATCTATCAACCGTGTTAAGTTAAATATAAAACATGGACAATTTTTAATTACCCAGAACATTTAAGTGGCCAAGGATTGTTCTTAAACGCTTCTGTAGTTGCGATTCATCTGAAAATTAGTCAATTAGAAGGCAATATTAACTGATATTTATATTATAGGTGTAGTCAGCGATCAGAAATCAGTAAAACTAGTTAAATAAGGTAATATTGTAAAAGCTTATGCATTAATTTGCACGTTATGTATGCTATGCTATGATGTACTGTATTACCTGTCTGACAAGCCGAAGTAGATTGAAATGAACTCACTGATAAAATGACCTGACATTAGGCACTGAAATGATTAAGGTGGAGTATTGTTAATAATCATAAAATTATAACTATCCGATAATATCTCTTGAAAAATCCCAATAAAATTCGGCATTGGTTTTAATTGTTCATTCCTCAGTAAGAATCTCATCTGAGTCACAAAAGAGATGTTGAAATCTACTAGATAGACTCGAGAACATTAACTGAGGACCACTGTATTAATTATCAATGAATTTATGGATTTCAGATTACTTTCAGTGATAATCAGTAAACGGATAATGGGGTAAACAACAGGAAGCCTAGCACAAATGTGCATCAGTAAAAACAATGAACAGTTATTTTGGTTACTCTAACTAGAAAACTTGCACATTCTTAGATTGACAATCAGTGGGCAGAAGATATAATCCGATAGCTGAGAATATAAGAATCATGTAAAAAAATACAAAAAATCAAGTAGGAATTTGATAGCATCTTTTGACCTAAGTGACACCATATTAGCATAACTCGGGGAAAAAATTTGTTTTATAACTAATTAATTCGTTGGTTTAAATTACAATTTAATAACTACGGCAACTGAGAACCTCAAGCTGATTTTAAAGTGGGTTTTGAGCGTCCACCGATGAAGTATAAAACCACATACAGTAAACCTCTATTACTGCTACACGATCTTTATCATTTCAGTCACATAGGTTAGGTACTCGTAAGCAAAACACATAGTTATGGGTTGAACTCTACTTAACGTCGGTATTAAGATAGTTTGTGTTTTTCAGTCGAATCCAACAATCGCGAACTAAAAATTACTACATACATTTTTGCGTGGTCAACGATTCTCAAGATCGGTCATGTATATTGTGATTCAATGAAATGTAGGAAGCCTAAGATGTCAATTCAAAGACGAAAACAGAATAATCTAACGAGCAAGAATGACGTTCCCCAAAAGTAGTAATTTTGAACATAACTCCGGTTGTAAGATGAAAATTATGGAGCCTAACAAGTGTCAGAAATTATTGCAAGTTGAAAGCAAATTTTTATACATAAACTTACCTAGGAGACTGAATAGTTGACTCAAAAGAAAGTTTACTTGTTCTGTTAAAGAATCAAAAGCAGCCTTTCTTATTAATTCATGACCGAAAAGATTGGTAAGTGATTTAGGAACTACAAGAGAGTTCACATCCCCTTCATGAATTGTGGTGAAATCACTCAATAACTTTTGGGCCAGAAGACTACTTTCTTTGAGAGAACTTTGGTTTGATATCGAATTTTTTAAAGATGACTGTGAAGCTAACATCAGCAGACCAGAAACTACAGTGTATCTAAGGTGCTGACTTTCTCTAATATTGGTCAGTGAATGACATTTTAGTAGTAATACACCCAGCCAGTGTGTAAACGCAGCAGATAGTCGTACATTTCTGTCTACATCTAGCTCCAGCTGAGTGTGAATTACACTATCGACAGTTTTTGAAACCAAAGACGTTAAGTGAGATTGAGTTGTTTTGAACCACTCGGAAGTAAAATTTTCGCACTCTTTTGTAGACTTTGCTAAAACGAAATAAAGTATGCTTTTGTAGATAACGAACAATCAAAACACACCTCTAACAGAATGCGGAATTAACTCATCCATAATCAAACCATATCTTCATCACCAATCGGAAAACAACCATTAACAGTTATAAAGTTTAATGATAAAACTAAATTACAAGATTAAGTGTTCTTCAAACTCTGAGATATCTGACTGTGTTGAAAGCTATACTACGATAGGACCGATCGGTGGGCAAAGTTGTTGTCAACTAGCCATTCACAACTAATTTAAAGTGACACAACAGTGAATCAACCCAGGTTGCCACAACACGTCAGGATGACGAAATGAACTTAACAAGCTGGAACGAGGGGGAATCAAAATAATAGTTTATATATATTGGTTGTTTAGATCTTATGATTGACGTTTAGGATCACAACTTAACAGTCTCTTTAAGCATATGTGCCTTAATATTGCCGTTAAATCACAAGCATTTTAAGCCGAGGTGGATGACAACTAGCATCCCTGCTAACCACCATCCACTTATGTTTAAGATTATCAATGATATTAAGACTAAATATATGGAGTATGGTTCAAACAGTATGAGTTTCTGGAGTGAAATAACTCAAAACCTAACGGAAGATAAAGTATAGATGCATCTGTGTCACTGCTACTTTACACAGGGTTTTCTAACAATGGACACAGTTATCGCGCGGATTCTAACTAGGCAGCGTACACTTATCGAGTGAGTTTAGACCATCAGTCACACTTTAACTTAGCCGCTCTTAGCTCTTCCTTAGGCTAATCTTGTGTAGGATAGCATTGTACATCGACCTAGGCATCGGTCCCATTTATGTAACACAAGTAAAATTCACCATAGTCAATGAGGACTCACTAACTCATCAACAAGCTTGGCATTCCAAGTAGCAGTCTTCGTTTAAATTCTAGACCGCCCATTTAGTTGTCCCACCAAATAAGAGTAATGATTCAAAAACAAAAGTGATAGAATGTTAGCAGTCTGCAAATTTACTATACATTATTCCGATAGCTGAACTGGAAAAAACAATTTGTACAATAATAAACTTGAACAACGTTCTTTCATATTTCATAGCTGTTCACCAAATTTTAACATCCCTTCAATCACAAAACGTATGGTAACGGAAAAAGTGCTCTCTAAATTGAAACACGAACTTCACGTAAATTTCCAATCCAAATTGTTACGAAACAATGACGTATTTTGTTCACTAAAATCTAATACAGCATAAGGCAGTTTATCTGGTCATATTAAACATTAGACCTTTTAAGAATACGTATTCCGTTCAAGTTGTTACACCTCACTTCAACTCAGAAGGATAACCCAACAATCTGAGAAGCAAAGAATGATAAATATCAAGTGGGATGAAACGTCCGTTGTGAAAAATAAAATTCGAACAGGACAAGAAAAAGTCGAGGAACGAAATTTCCGTAATAATTAGCTCAGGATTTGAAAAATCTAAATGCGCAAACATGATCGATTTGGGACCATATAACCCGTCCAAAATCCTAAACCACAGCTCGAACTAAAAGGTAAGTAGTTTCTCAGAAAATTTGAACAGCCAGTGATTCTTTAATTTGATGGTACTTAACTCTGACCTTATTCAAACCCTGGTGTCTATTTTATTGCTTGCTGCTTTTAGTCTTAATGCTATCCAGACGACACGACTGGAGCTGTAGAACTTTAAGGTAAAAGTATTTTCATTGAAATAGTCTGGTGATTTCGTTATGACAGAGAAGACGGTCCGCTGTATGAAAATAAGTAACGTTTGGGAAGTAGGTCTAATAAGCAAGCGTTATATACTTGCGTAGAGTTGTTTGAGTCAGGACCAAGCCCTAGAGAAAATGCGTCAAAAAGAGTTACCATTCATTATTCTTATCGGGATATGACAATTACCTTAAAAATTGATCTACTATATTATATAGGAATGACTTTAATGTACATATAAGTATGTAAAGTAACGACGATAAGAAAGGATACAAGTTAATCTGGACACAATAATATGCGACCACCATGAAGATACATAAGTTGATGTGTTATTTTGCTAACCTGATTACTATTGTTTAACGGATGTTTCTTAATATTGCCTTCAAATATAACAAGATTTAGAGGTGCAAGACCAGTCTTTTAGAAGAGATCCTTACATACAGGTAGTGTTGAAAAATGGTTAATATATTTTAGGATACATGCAACAAAAAAATCAGTTGCATATATCTATGAAACTTTATCCTCCTCATGATATACCTCTGAGTTTAAGGGATATGATATACATAAAATGGAATTTAGAACAGTGAAACATACTCTTTTGCACGTTATTAGAACCAGGTTCGTTTTGAAAAACAGAAATCAGTATGGAAGACCAAGCATTGAATGCAGCCTGAATGGATCAATTTATAATGGGTACTGTACATACCACTTTGATACTTGACCACACCTTATGATTGGCGGTTATAATTCTGTAGAATGATTGGGAAAATCCTGGTAAGAAGCTCTTTAACGAATTGGCGAGATGACCTTTGAGTAAATCATCAGCGTCATCATTCACCTCATGAAAAGCATTTACAGGGAGGGCGATAAGTGACAAAGTACTAAGTGAATTGCAGCACACATTTCGATTCTTGGAATATTCGCTCAAATCTAATAAGAAGGAGCAGATGTGGCTGATGATCGGCAGACATTCTGGTGCAGTAACTGACATTACTTCACTACATAATTAAGGAAGTTAGAAACTTGCTTGTATCTTATAGACGAAAACAAGGTTTTTAGAGCTGAAGTAAAAGCCAGACAACATTCTTCAGACAACAATGACCATAATTTACAGTCAGGATTTTCAGATGTGATCAAGTACAAAACAGTACTCATGTCATCTAGGAATTCAACACAGGCTTTAGACCTATCAACGTTAGCAGAAATTTCGAACAGATGACTATATGTTCTATATATGGACTCGACTTCATCATTTTTTAATTTCCTGAAATTAATGTTTTGGGAAAGGTTTGGATACTTTTTCCTAAGCAATAAGGACCGGAGGGAATTATGTACCTGATCGAAAACTAGGTACTTATTATTTTCTTCACAGTTGTCTAAGACGAAACGCAAATATTTTATGGTGCTTTCCTGGTCACATTCAGTCATAATTCACAACATTTAAGCAGTCACAATGTCAATGACCCTGAATGCAGAGAATTCAAACACCTTCGATTTTTAAATGTAAGGAAAGGTCAATCGACCAATATTAATCATTGCAGTTTGTAGTACCTTGAAGATAAAATTTCTTTTTGGAAATATGAACGGAAAGTGGTGATATCACGTGTTCTAGTAGAGAATGTCAGTAACTCACTCCTTTGTTGAGGGAAACAGAACTCCGGATGTAAACAGTTTGATCTAACCTTCTGAAGTTATTCAGAATATACCCTCAGATGGTCAATCCTTGATGAAGGGTAAAGATAAGACAGATGAATACCAGGTTAATCGTTCAATGTATGTTAAGTCAGTATTCGATAACACCGTAACCTGTGGCAAGATAACTGTAGTAAGTTCATGCCTCGCATTTTGCTTTCATCAGATGGAACAGATGAAGTTTTTTTTGTTCCCTTTCTGTAGAACTCTGGCGTATCCGCTTCATATTTGAATAAAGGATTCGCAGAAAGGATCCCATATTCTAAATGTGGCCCTATAAAAGCCAGTTTAATACCTTAAATATTTCTTTACCGAAGTAATGAAATGAAGCATAAATAGCCCACACGATAATCAAGTTTTTGGCAGCGGCAGCCCAGCAGTCACCCGCAGCTCTGAAGTCATTGCTTAGTATGACTTATAAATTTTTATAGTCAATTACCTCATGTAATGCAGCTCCACATAATGTGTAATGATATGAATCATCGTAGTTATTTATTTGCATTATCGCGTTATTGTTAGAGTTAACTTCTAAAGATCACCTGCACATCCACCCAACCAGTGACTTTAGTTTATCCTGTGACAATTTTCTATCTGACATGTTTCGTACGGGTCTACAAACCGGCAGATAGTAGATCAGATGGTCTTATTACAGTTGGTAAGTGATTAACACAAAGTAAAATTGAGGGGAACAGGACATCGTGGATTGTCTGAAGTTAGAAATTGCTTAAGAGGCTGACCATTCGGGTGAGGTTAAAGGTACTGAGTTCAAATACCGCATATGAGATTGTGAATACTCGCTGCTGAGTCTCCTATTAGAAAGGAACGGCCGTCCAGTGCATTTGGGTTAAGATTGGTTGGTTCATAATTTCAATGAAATTATACTCTTCATCAGCCGGAAGTGAGTGTTGGAAACTACGCTTACAGAAAAACTAGCGCTTCAACTGTTCTGTCCTATGATTTGAGCAAAGATCTACTCTAACCACTAAAACTGCAGGTAGAATAATTCAAAGACGCCCTCTCATTGGATCACGTATAATACATCATACACAAAAAGAATTGTCAAAAGACCCTGTCATAACCTAACTAATTGAGAGTGTCAAAATTTAAATGAAGGCTGTTGCCAAGACACAAATAAACAATAGAGATAAGAGCAGATCAACCCAGCCACCAAGACCCAAGTTTCAGAGCAGATCACATACGTTCAGACAGTCTGAACAGTCCTGTTGGTACTACTGGAAGTTTCGTGCCAAGTCAACCATGTGCAGTCAACATTGTTCATAGCGTAATGAGGCTCTGAGGAATATAGAAAACGAATAACCGCTTCACAGGTCTAAACGGCCAAGGAGGGCTGCCCAAACAGTCGCTCAATTTATATCAGAAGAAGATATTCGGGTTTGAACGTCTTTGTATCATTCTTCAGAAAAAACTGAGCTAAGCCGACAAATTTCCCCAGTTACACTAAAAAATACCAACAAAAATAGGATCGCGATGTCTGGACAGAAAGCTTTGACGCTAGAGCTCACGTTTACTAGCCGATTCACCTGCGTGTACACCATGGCAAAGAAAGTCGTATTACTTGTCTTAATTTGATACAAACTTCGTCCGTAACAACTGGGAAATTCTATGATATACTTGCGGAATTTCCAAACTTAACCAAACCGAACCCTCAAACTGTAAAAAGTAAATTAAAGGTAAGTCATACGATCTGAACTGAAGGTGCACCTGTGTTTACTAGAACCAGGAGAATATCACTGGATAAACTCAAAATAGCTCGAGTCGAATTTGACTACATAATACGACTGTGCATTATTTGTCTCTCTTACAGCCCGTGGGCATTCGCTCTATACATGGTCCAAAAGATGAAGGCGACTGGCGTAGTACTAGCCATTACCCAGACAATGTAGCTTAAGATCGAATACATAAGACGGTGTCTGGGGGTGATCTTATCCGCAACGCAACCATGTAAAATTAATGTATCGCACACTGTAATTTGTGCGTTCAAGTAACTACAGATTTTGTCACTTCATAATGTATTTTTAATTTAATAACTGGATTATGTTGTTAATTTTGCTCTGTTTTTGATTTTTATTCGCCACGTCTGACTGCGTTACACTGCACTTCCATTGTACGCTGGGATGATATCTCAAGTCATAGTGAGTTTATTCACATAGTTGATTGTTTCCAGATAGACTGACAGTGCATGATTTTACTGAAGAAAGGTTTGTTGTACTGTAAACTATGCTTTTATGATCAACTGCCTGTTGTCTTCAGTATCAAAGCAATATATACATTCTGATTGGTCGCTAAGCTAAAAAGCACATTTACGAAATTGAGTTGCTTTTTAATTACAGCCGGTGTCTGGTCAATACATTAAGTTTATTTAAAGGATATCTAAAGGTAGACAATCGGGCGGCAAATGCATTATTTTGGATGGAAATGAAAATGTATGTTTGTTCAAATAATATAAACGAAAAATGAATGTTGTTTGTACGCACTGTTACTGTCACACTTCAAAACAAATTAACAAAATAGTAATAGTCTCTAATAAATCTCACGCGCCCCTCTTCCAATTGCTTTCTTTTGGTGTATATGAGTTACATTGTTTTTTATAATAAATGTGTAAGACTGGTTTATTCCAAACAATCCGACGACTAAACATAAATATAATGCAACACAACAGCGTGTCTGAGTCAAAAATGAATGGAGAATCTTCGACTGTGATGAATGTTGTGTGAACTGCACTTAGAGAACTATTGAAAATATTCGAAATCTAAAACAACACTATCAATTTTTCCCCATACTCAATATCAAATAAAAACTATAAGTAGCCATCATTAATTGTTTCCCGACATCCTCATAAACCTTTGTTTCAAATTATCAATCACGTAATATGGTTGATTTAAGCCATGAATCTAACCAAAAACTATTATCCCAAATAGTGTTGTCTTCTCGAATTTATCTTTACCTAACTCTGGTGGTTTCGAGAAATTTTCAAGTCAGCTGGTCCCTTAATAAGTGCTACGAACGTTATCAGTTTTACTAGAGGTTTGACGGCAGCCACTTAAGCAAATTATCATCGAAATTGATCAGACAAGTCTTCTGCAAACTGAAAATATAGCTGACGTATTCATACAAACGTTGACTGAAGGTTCGGACAATTATCATAGGAATGGTTTGAAAGTTATACTCTACTTGGCTACAGCAGGTGTACTGCCTGACCACCGCTTCTTTTATCTACTTATTACTATTTAATTGACTGAAAACATCGTACAGCGCATCATTCTTGATGGTACCATGTGAGCTGTATTGATTTTCAAGCCTTATTTAGAACAGATTGAGTAGAGAGTTCTATATAAGCCAACGTACAACTAGCGTTCCAATGTGGCTTGTTGCGAAACTTTGGTGTACTAACCCATTCTTTTATTTTTTTTATCGTTTCTGAAAAACTTACAGTTAGAGAACATCGTATGAACATCCCGAGCTTACAATTTTGGAGAAAAATTCTACCCATTTTGTCAAATTTCGGGGAAGCCGCTATAGTAAAATTTGAGGAAATGGCACCAGAACACCGAAACTTCCTCAAACCTAGGGACATCCCCCAATATTCCCCCAAAATTTTCTCTTAGTCTTGGCAAAGGTTGTAGGGCCGGCGAAATGTCATTAAGCCCTGACCAAATGATCTAGCGGTTGGGTCAATGAATATCGAAACGATCGTCGTAGATCACCAACGTAGATGATCTATGTCAAAAAAGATTGGAGGCCTACTCGAGTTAGACGTGAGTGGTGTGACAAACTATTCAATGACCCAACTGCCGTATCATTTGGCTAGGGCTTGGTGACATTTCGCTGGCCCTACATTATAATTAATTTATTTCTGTAATAACGTCATCTGTGTTGTACAGTCTTCAAAACATTTATAGTAGTCCACGTAACGTGCTGACCACGAGGTTCGACTCCGACGTTAGCTGGTTCGTCACACCATTCCCGTCTAACTCGAGTAGGCCTCCGATCATTCGACATAGATCATCTAGACTGGTGAGTTACGAAATCATTCGACTTGGGGGATTTCCTCAAGATTTACCCAAACTTTAATGAAGGTCATTTGGCTTTGTGGGTTTCCCCAAAATACCCCAAACTTCGGAGATCAGGGTTAGTCTCGATAACAGAAGCACAGATCACACACGCACTCGCACAATCGTCCAACTGGACGCTAGGTCATGCACTTGACCAATACTCGTAGTGCGATTGACTATAATACTTTCTTACAATAATGTGCGTATACTGCGAAAATAATTACCAATCACAGAAGTCATATTAACTTATGTACTTCTTTCAAAGAGGTCTCAAAATTACCCGGACTTGTAAATCGTCGCGACAACATATCATTGAAGATTCGTCGTATATCATGCGTTATCACGATGGCATCGTTTTCGTTACTTGAAGGATGGACGTTATCAGATATAGTGTGGCTGAACTCAATTTAAATCTAAAAATATATTGATTTGACCGCTTCTGTAAGACCTTGCAAATTGTCGAGGTGAAGCACCAATCGTTTTACGACCGCTTGACCTTCAAGTGCTCGGCAATCTTCATAGTGGACGATCCTCTTAAGCGTTGCCCATCGAATTTGGTTGATCCACTGGTTCGAACTGAGGAATATACTTTACTACAGTTTACTAATTCTGTTAGTATTAACTTTTCCATAAAAATCGTAAGGCCTCGTGTAAATCTTATGAAAAACTTCCTGTTTTGTATTTCCTTAACCATATAGTTGAAACATCCAAATTAGATGTTGTTGAAAATTGTATTAATTGTAGAAGTTCGCGGATCTATTGTGTAAAGTCCCACTTATGTTCAAAAATTTTGGTAAGTCAGGGAGAATCGCAAACAGTGATAACTTCCAGTCATCTCAACATACTCATTTATCGAGAATTAGAGAGGATTTCAAGAATTTGTCAAAATCCTACTAAAATTCTCGAGAAAGATGTAAGTAAAATTTCTCCTGACCTGGGGTTTTCTTCAAAACTCTAAGGAACTCCTCAATTTGTAAATTTTGGGGTTCTCTAATATTCCCCTAGAGTTTACACCGACTTTAGGAGAAATATACTGCTGTATAATATCAGAAACACTCTGCTTGTAAAACTGTTCGACAGCAAACAACTAAGTAAATGATCCTTAAAAGATGATGTATGCAACCTCAATGACTTCAAAGTAGTCACACGTCATGGACGCTTGTAATAACTTATAATATGTTCACGCTTTTCCATAATTACAAGACTAACATATAATATTCTATAGTAAACCGAAGTAAAAATATATTCATTTTCCAGGAGCTGCGTTTTTTCTTCATGTAGGTTACATTTAGAAACCAAACATATATTTAGTTTCAACTTTCATCCGCAATGTTCTTAAGAAGCTAAAATGTTAGTTTGCAATGCCACCAATATAAAGTTAATATAAATACTATTTCAGTGGAACTGGTTTACAATGACACTCCAGTAAAAGAATCTTTCTTAATATAATGGAGCATTTAAAACCTGACTCTTATGTTTTTCTGATTGAGTACACACAGCAAATGTCTGTAAGAAGTGTACGTGTTACAAAAGGTCTTGTAAGATAATACGTACGAAAATAAATTACAGACACGTCGATGAGTACTTTTGAAACCATATGGAAAGTGAAAATGTACAGTAGTTTCTACATAAACCTATGGATGAAATATACGAACGCATATATATCTATGCAATAACGCACTTTTATTGTTTTATGTTTATGCTATTTTGGGTCGCACCCTACACTTATTTTTTTATCTGTTGCGTTTTGTAAGAAATCCTGGCTCGCAGTACTCAATGTTCATATAATATCGTTTTCCTGACTGGTAGCATTTTGGAATACGGAACACAGAACATATGACAAAAGTGTTTGCTCTGATTTCAACTTATTGCGAGCTGTCCAGTGGAATCTGTAACCAATTGTATCCATTTTGGTTTTAGTTCCATGTGGTGTACTCACCAGTTCTGACGTCATTATATAGACCGAAATCATCATGGACTTACAAAGATTGCTCTTGATGATCACCGGCAATTTTGTCATCTTTATTTCAATAAAAAAATTGTTTCAACTTACGAACTGACCGCAGGGTTTTGGTCTGTGGAAATTTTTCGGGAAATATTAAGGGAAACTCAAAAATTTCTGCAACGTTTGAGGTTTTTCTCATGATAAGTTGGAATTTAGAGGGAAAACTGCAGACCAGGGGAAAATTTAGGGGTTTTAGTTGGATTTTATCTGAGAGTCTTAGTGGGACTTCGACAAAGTTTCAAAATTCTTCCTAGCTTTGGAAGATTGCAAGGTTTTTTCATAGAGAAATCCTTACGAAGCAACACTTCTATTACTTTCTTCATAAAAAGTGGTTGTGTCTCCCTTACCTGAAAATTTTTTGATTGTACCTTTCCTTTCCCTCGTTACTACCTTACACCAATCTCTTCGTTATTGTTCTCTTTTTCTTTTGCGCTCCTTAGTTTTTTTTCTATCTCTCTCCGAATTCTCATTGTTTCGTGTGGCGCATATATATTGGCGCTCTCTTGTACCAATATTCATGTGTTCAAATAAAATAAAATAGGTTTCATCTTTCATTTTAATATATTATTTGTCTTCTTTGATACTTGTGCCCACTATATATTTTTAACTCCTAGATTAACCACTAGGTTTTATAAAATCCATTTTATTCTACTTAATGTTCTTTTAGTTTCAGCAAATTCATTTTTATCTTGTGTTTGTTGAATATAGGTAGTTATGTTGAGATTGTTAGACAGTTACTGCGTCAAAACATTACCACCAAATATTCTTTATCTACCAGATTTTATAAATGAAGAAGAAGAACAAGAACTACTAAAACATATTTATTCTGCCCCATTACCAAAGTGGGTTTCTCTACGTGGTAGACGCTTGCAAAATTGGGGTGGTATTCCTCATGTTAAAGGAATGTTAGTTGAAAACGTTCCACAGGTTTTTTAATTCATATGAATGAGTTAACAATTTAGTCTATTTAGTGGCTACAGAAGTACATGGATCGTGTTTCTGAATTGTGTTTATTTGATAATAACAACAATAATAAGGCGAATCATGTTTTGGTGAATGAATATGAATCAGGACAAGGTATATTTGTAAGTGATTGTTTTTACTTAATCTCATTATTAAAACGTGAAAATTACGTTCATCATTGATTTTAATTGTTTCCCTCAAAATCCTCTGTAAATGTTATTTTATCTGTCTTCTTGATTATTTACGGCCTAATAGTGATCAAAATCAATCACATAATAGCAATCGCATTCATTATTTACTTTTTAAGCGTTCACTTACCATGTGCCATTGCTGTCGTATGAAATCTTGACACGTATTCAGAAAGCTCAGTTGCCTTTTGCCAACTTTTCCCACCTGTGGCATGGGCGAGACGATTCTTCAACTGAAGTGGTTGGGTGTTATGTATGCCTAACCACTAACTACTATGACGGGCGACGTTGTATGATATGAGAGAAGGCTGGAAATTTGTCCGTGGTTAAACAAAAACGTACCGTTGGTCTGTAAAGTATTTGACTGTTGGACTGACCCATGTAAATCGGTGTAGATTACATGGTTGGGGTCCGCTCAATTATCGTAATGACTGGTCAGACCCTAAATTGTTCACAATGGCATAAAAGCATTTACTTTTTCTCTTTAGCTACTGGATCCCGAAATCTTATACCGTTTTGTTTCTTTTTTTGAAATGTTAATATGATTAATGTGATGATTTTATTCCTCGAGATATATGGTGAAGCATTTAAATATTCACCAAAATAAATGAAATGTTAGTTGTCTGGTTCATGTTTTTTAATTCTAATGGACAGCGTTTGACAATACAATGTTAATATAGAATTGACTTACAAGACAGCATATTTAACATAGATTGTTACTAAATATCATGATGGCAGTTCTTAAGTGATTGTAAGCCTGATAAGTTCAAATCGTATCATCTTATATATAGCTATTCAGAGAACGGACTCTAATTTTCCTTGTTCTTTTATCATATGGCCTAATAAATGCCATTCTTGGGTGTATCTGGGTAAAATACCATAATATATATAAACACATATGTTTTAGTCGTTCTAGATTCTGAGTCAGTTTTATATTTAGACTTAGACTTAGCCTGTTTTGTAGCAAGTTCAACTAATAACGTGATTTTAGAAATTAAATACGAAATGCGTTGGATATTTCATACTCTGCACACACTAATCGGCAATCAAGAAGATGAATGTCGACGAATCGTACAGTATGCAAATTTTAACTTGAGAGCTGAATCTTATGTTATTTGGATTGGTCGGAAAATCGATCAGCTTGTCAATTAGTGATTTGGTTTACAAAACCAAATAATGGATAGGATAAATAAATACGTGGGCGAATATACCCAATACATATGCATAATGATGTTTTTGTAATATCACAATAATTATAACACAACTTTAAACTTAGGTTTAATTCAGTTACTTATTTCCTTTAAAGAAGTACTTTACGTCACGAAACGTGATATCCATTTCTAAGAGTGCATAAATTTAATTGATGGGCCCAAAGTTACATTGTATAACATATTTCCGACCTAGTAATCAGCTATTCAGTTTCTGTTTTACGATTTTGGCCACTTTTAAGTTAGAATTAAGTTCAGCAAAGAAGGATTATAACTTTTTCTTGGGTACTAGTCAAACTTCACACTATCCATATATTCAACCTGATTAAATTTCTTTTGCTTTTGTTCCGAAGGTGAGACTAACTCTAGTAAATCAATGTTTACAAAGTTACTGATATTACTTCCACTGTATTTAATTTAATTTTTCATGTTCTTAAAATTAATTCCAATAGCCTCATCATGATGGACCACTTTACTATCCTGTTGTTGCTACAATCAATCTGAATTCTTATGGAATTCTGGACTTTTATGAGCCGTTGGATACTTCTGCAGACCCAGTAACTATTTATGTTAGTATAATCGTATTTTTCTATAGCAAACAAAATCAACGTTATTTAATGATCGTTATATTGGCTCAGTTTATTTGAAACCTCGTAGCTTAAATATTGTTACTGAAAAAATGTATACACATTATATGCATGGGATTACTGAACGTACAACTGACTTATTAATAAATTATGAAGACTGTTTGAAACGTCCTGAGGAATCGGTTGAAAATGCTGCTGTTATTCATAATTGGACTGCTAGCAATTTGGGAAGTATTCACTCACAGTTATGTCATCGTGGCAAACGTGTTTCAGTAACTATACGCTATGTGCCCAATGTGAGTAAGATCAACTGGAATAATTTATTATGCAGAAATTAAACTGTTCCCACTTTATTTACTAATACAACTGTTGTTAATAACATCGTTTGTGATGAATTTTCATTTCACATCATAAGGAATCCGTATGGATCCACATTTTTAAATGCATTCAATGAAAACGTAGAACCTGGGGTCAATTTGTATTGGTCCGAGTTACCACACTTTACATTAACATAGCTCCATAAAGTTAGTAGGATAAATGACATAGTAGTCGAAGTAATGTTAGTATATTTTATTATGAAAAAAATTAAGCAAAGGAAATATAATTCGAAAAATAGGAATGATTTGCTGGGCATAAAGTGTGAAATAGTATTATAACTCATGATGTAGGAGCATATAAAGAATGAGTGGATCTGTGTTAATGCAGCTGATTGTATGCCATATCGCTGAACGGCTAATTAGTAAACCACTCTGAGCCTAATCTCTCGACAGGCTTCAGTCTAACAATCAGTGGCTTCATCTACTGATTCTTAGTCTTAATTTGGTCACTACTAGCTTTCTCATACCAGGAAGTTTGTGGATAGCGATAGGCGATGGTTGGTATTAAGTACTATGTAACAATTGCCTAGTTTTATAAACGTACACAACCTCGTGAATCTCACTATTAATCAGTTGATGATCTCATCTGTGAGTAATGCCTTGAAGGGTTTTATAACTGGGTATTAAAAACTTACGTTTGTTATGTACCTTTTTAGGTCAGGTATTAGCTATATAGTAATTTTATAACCCACTTACTTCACTTCCTGTAGTTAGGCCATGCATAAGTACTGACCAGTCGTAAAATAACAATTTACATTTAAAGAGACCGAAAAAAGTCCTAACCATTGTTGTTTTGTTACTTGAGAATTTTAAAGGTCTTTGAACTGTTTCATCGCTCTCATCAAACAGGACTTCGTTATCTACATGTTCAAATAAAGCTTCAATCGATGATATGCAGTGTTATAATGTGACTAAGTGATGGTTGTTTACAAGACCAAATTATTGACGCAAGTTATTTAGTGATTTGAGATCATGTACAAGGCACCACCATGAAGAATTCTTTTAATGCAATAAAATGATGTATCTATGTACAAAATTTATTTATTTGAACACATAAATATTGGTACAAAAGGGCACCAAATATATATGCGCCACACAAAACAATCAGAATTCAAATAGAAAAAAAAGAACAATAACGAACAGATTAGTGTAAGGTAGTGTAACAATAATAATGTACAAAACATTAATACGAGAAATAAGTTGACGTTGGTGGTTGAAGGAAATCGGTTCGTAGGCCACTTACTATTCGACCAATAAAGTTATGAGCATCAGGCTCAATTCTTTCCAGTCATATTACATTCTCCACTATTGGTATTCCAACAAATTATTTTGAATAAATTCATTAAAATGGATACCTGTCCAATGAGCACCACGATTTCATTAAAAGTTTCAGTCTACTAATATTAAATCAGTAGTCAGTCGACTCTTTAAAAATAATCCACATTCCTAATTCATACTCTTCGTAGCGATAAGATATATTAACATGTGTGTGAGAATGAGTCAACTTTGAGAAGTTAGTTTTGCTATAAGGGACGAATTACAAGATACGTTTTAATGAAATTTTTGGATCGGTTACTTTTACTGGGGACAGATAGGAGATGGGGTTGTTTTGCATAGTGAGTCCTACGGCTTGTGAATAGTATCTATACACAACTCTTCTAGTGCGCACCGTAGGTTCTTACTGTTACAATTTAGTGTTTTTTTCTATGTAACTTAGCTTTCCGTACATTTGTGTTCGCAATGCTCCTCCATTTACTTTACTTATTGAGGCATCCAAGAATGAAATTTTATTTTGTGATTCTTCTTTTCTTGTAAATTTTATATCGTCAGAGATGTTTTTAACCAAATTATAAACATTTTCAAGTAAAATTCTTTGAGATAAATGTTCTATTTATGTAGCGTATCCAAATATTTGGTCTAATTATCAGTAGAACCATGCAGTCTTGAATCTATGATTCGATTATAAAAACACGTTCACTAGTTGTTGGATGTATATCGAATATCTTATAAATGTTCTAGTCAATTTTATATTCACCACTTTCGGTTTTTCGGTCGAATTTCTTTGTTTAAATCTACTAATGCTTATCTCAAACTTAAAGTGCATGGGAGTTGTAGTGTAACCAAATAATCATTATCTACACTTACACATCCGACTAATTATTCCTAGTGAACAACACGGTAAAGCTGTCGTATACTGACTATTCGATTACTTAATTGTATGAATTAAATACAACCAAGACTCCTCTATCCGTCCTCTCCATAATTAATTGTACTGCTACGTTGGCAAATTCGATGTGAAGCCAAGCTCTTATTGCATCATATAAACGAAACTCTGATCTATAAAGTACGTACTCAAATTTTACCTTGAATTCACCAAATGTTATCTATTTTAGGTGTTTAGTAAATCAGTGTTGTGTATATCACGAAACTATTTGGTACTTATGTAAAGTTACCTAATTTGTCTTAAAATTTAAAGCGGAATGAATAATGTATGAGTATTTTCTAGACGTTATCGAATATTTAGGTTTTTCTGAAAGAGAAATTAGCACAATGGCTTTTATACTGATTGACGACCTGATGTAGAGGCAATAACGGGGTCATATGATTAGTTCTTTGTTAATCACCTATCGAATTTGAATTCTATCATCATGTAGCTATTTTCATTTTAAATTTTCTACATATATGTGTATACTTATGCTACTTTAAACTAATTTCATTTTCTGACCCGTTAGTATATTGTTTCATATCTATTCTTTGGGCTCTTATGTTAATAAGTTGGTTTTCATAAGTATTTATCACTCTACTGTACCAATCATGTCGAATCAAGCAATCAATCTGTTCAATCAATTTAATCGTTTTTTGTTTCATCACAGAAGAAAAAAATTTATGGTTTAATATGAGATGGATTGGTACTTATTTATTTACAATCTTTTATTCACTATATAAATCTAATTATCAACCTAGTTACCAACTTATTAGTTTGATAAAATACGATGTACTATCAATAAGTTTGACAAGTCGGAATTAAATTATGACAATCCATCATGAAATCATCTATAGGTCACAATTCTTGATTACGTAATGATTGATTTGTTGAGGTTGATTTTCTTTTTAAGGTCAATTGTCAAAATTACTAAATGTCACTATAATATTAAGAGTAAATACTTGGATTAATGCATTACAATAGTGTTTAATCACCTAGTTTTAATTTATTAGATTGTACTAGTGATATAATTTCCAACATTTGAATATCTTGTTAATTAAATTGAAGAATCTATAAATAGAGAACACAGGTAAGTTTTTCTATGTACCATTATATTCTTATATTGAATATGATGCCTACATTCAATTTAATAGGACTGTTGATGTAAAATGCTTTTCAACTATTTAGAAAAGATTATTATTTACAAGATAAGTGAAACATTCTAATTATTACAAATCAGTGTATGTTTAATGCATTGAATTATAAATTTAATAAAATATACCGTCTTATAAGTATCATTACCAAGGTTTGATTCGATAATTTCGAATAAATTGAGCATTGGGTAGATCGTTGTAAATAAAACGAATATATTTGGAATATCTCAATGAGTAGAAAAATTAGATTTTCTGACGTTTCGTGACTTAGTGTAAGTCACTTCTTCAGAGAATAAATATGTTTTATTAAATACTTTAAGATGTCAATGATAGAACTGATATTAGTTATTGGGGAAATAGCTTCCAAATCACTGAAAGAACTCTTCAATAAATCACACGACATAAAGATATTTTGAAGAAATACTGTCTTATCATTATTTGTGTAATTTTTAGTTACATCACAAACTGCTGATAATAAGAAAAAATCTAAAATCAAAAAGTCCAAACACTTGAAAATCAGGTTACCCAATAGATGTAAGAGTAATGTATAGCATGAAAGAGGTACTTTATGATAATGTTCAGCATTGGTAAAATATACGCCCTTTTAATTCTTGGAACCAATTTACAATAAGGATTTGAAATTCTATTTAAAACTTTTGTGGAACTAGGTTGTGATGACTGGAGCTGTAATTCTGAACAGATTCAATAGATAAGCAAATGTCTAAACAAATTATAGATTTTAACAGTATTGTAATACCAGAATTTCAATATTTATTTTTGCAGGTTTTTCATTATGGAATGATGTTTGTTGTGATAAATGTTTCTTCCTATTTTGAGACTCACTAACAGTATGCACCTGTAACGTTACGCGGTATTCAGCCCAACCGCTCTTATATATTTCGGAGAAGAATATATTTCAAAATCAACAATTGAGAATTCGGTAGTCTATAGTTAGAACATTCGTTAATTGTTGATGTGACGTTGCTCAACCCTATTCACGATTTGTCACTAGAACAGAAGCAATTACTATGCAAGTTGAAAGCTAGTATTCAATGTCAGGTCAAAACGTATCCCGTGCGACTTGTTTTTCTGTTGCTTTTACTGCTGATATCAATTCATGAAGTAGGTTATCTTCCAGTGAAGGTCCTGGGTCCGAATCCCGCGAGCGGGATCGTGGATATGCACTGCTGAAGTGTCGCATACTAAGATGAAACAACCGTCTAGTGCTTCCAGGTTTTCCATCGTAGTCTAGTTTTAATTGACTCATGAACTCAGCTATTGAATTGCTACAATCTCCTCAAAATCCCTTACTGATAACAATTTTTTTCCATTTAGAAGGATTAGTAAAAAGGGCGAAATTTAATCATTTTAGGTAGAAATTAATTCATCAACTTGCTGATGTTAATCATTTTCAGGATATCAACAAAATATTTTTTATAATGGAGAGAAAAATAGTGGGAAAACTAAGTTTGTATGATAAAATACCTGAAAATAACAGGAAATGCTATATCTCAATTGACTAATGTTTATAGACATATTCATTCATGAATCGTATGCAGACAAACAATAACATTAATAGTATAATTTATTTGTATGGGTTGGGAATCAATTCAGTTTTGATACTCAGGATTTTACTTTGATCAGT